GTGCATCTCAGAGGCCGTGTAAAAAGCAGCATATTGTTGAGACCCACTCCACCAGGTGCCACAACGATCTCAGCTTCTCACAATCTTTCAAAAAGCTCAACTCTTTTTCATTAATGATCGTGACAGTTGATTGGCCCTTTTATTCAATAAAATTATGCTTTAGTATCATATCTATTCAATGTAACTCTTAACTTGAACTAGAATATTTGATTTTTATGTTTTAGAAGACATACAGTTGAATCCATTTGGTATATCAATACTTGAATGCCACGAAATTTTTTTCATAGTTATAACTGATAATTGCTATAAATGAGTAGCATGAAAAGTAGCAAAATAGGGGGATGGCAGGCTGTTGTGAGAAAACTATAACATTTGGTGGGATCAGCCAACAAGACACCAGTGATAAGGATCACATGCTGCGAATTTTTCGGACATGCTTGTAAATTAGGACATTTTCATGAGACTGCCACAAATCCTATAGAGCTAATGTATGATGTTTGAAGTATTGGGCGCTGAAACTCATCGCAAGCTTCAACTCTTTACCCAAGTTGCATGTCCGAAAGTGCATTAACAGAAGCCAGCGCTGCTCTCGTGCTGTTGCGGATTTCAAAAGTCAGCTTAGCGGCAATGCCACAATGGTCTGTGGTGAAGCATATTGTGATTTCAGATGGGCATTGTGGGTGTTTAGATTTCTCATTTTCGTCTTCTTTTCAAGGATTTCACTTTTCATTACCTATTAGCATGGAAACCCAACAGCCAGAATTCATTGTTATAACCGATAATGTAGCATGCTGGCATTGCTGTAAGTGAGTTATTTCACCACATAAACTATACAGAAGTCAATGGTGCAGCAGCTTCTCATTGCTATAACCGATATATCGTTCAAACTGGTATCGTCATAAGTGGTTCGGCAGTATTCTTATAACTCGAATACACTCAAACCTCTTTATAACGTAACGGGATATTACAAAATAATGGATATAATGAATTAAATGAAAATTTCTCTTGGAAGCTCCGTTGAGAACCATGCATTTTATACCTTGCTGTAACAAAGTAAAATTGACCGGTAAATAGATATAACAAACTATCAGATAGTCTATAGAAAAAAAAAAAAACGAGCGTAGTGTGTAAAGTATATCGTTTTCTGCGGAGTTTGACGCTCGTTCGGCGCGACTCTTTCAAAACTCCCGCGCCGACCTTGCAGCCACGCCACGCGCGGCCGAGAGAGCCGTCCTTCTCACACAGCCAGTGGAGAGTATTGAGGAAGCGATCAGTGGGTCAAGTGACCGAGAAGCAGCGCCGCGGTGCAAAGCAATTTCCCTCTCACTTATAAGAACACTTGGTAAGGAAGCTTCAGAAAACTTACATTTATTCATAAATCAGAGGACATCTGTCATTAACTGAAGTAATCGGTGATGCGCGCCTGCACACGTTCACCTTGCAGTAAGTCAATTTCACACGCAGTTTGCTAAGCATAGTAGCGTGCGGCTAAGTCCAGTGCCAACACTCTCTAACGACGACGGCAACGACTGCATCTCCGCTGCTACCCTCTGCATCGCGAAAAGAGGAGAGTCTTCACGCGGAGAGAAGCAGATCAGCTTTAGAGAGAGAGAGCCAACTTTTCGCGACAGCTTTTTTTTTCTTTTCCTCTCCGCGCGCGGCCTTGAGAGGAGAAGGGTCTCTACGTGCAGAGACGGAAAAGCGAGAAGCCTGGCACAGGCGCGTCACAGATCGGCATTTGAGAGAGAGCAAACAATCCGCCACAGTCTTTTCTTTCTTTTCTTCTTTTCCTTCTTCGCGTGCAGCATTGAGAGGCGCCGCTGCGGGATTGAGCATGGTGCTGAGAGCATTTTCGGAGCGCGGTATGTTCGAATTAACCATCGAAAGTGCTTGTGCGTTCAAACTGCAGGGCATTTTCACCCATTGGCATACACATAGCTTTGACGGGACCACAGTGTGAGTTCAAATTAAGGCGTGTTCGAATTAATAAGATTCGCCTGTGTTTATTTTCAGTCGCACGCGTGGTCATGTAGCGGTACATCGGGCTGCGAGGCGGTTTCCTTCTTTGCACGCTTTTAGGTGTGCACCCATCTGAGCATACATTGCGCAAACTTATAATCGCTATAACGAAATAATGGATATAACGAAATACATAATTGTGGCTCCCCTTCAGCTTCATTATAACGAGATTTGAGTGTATATGCTCAGCCATATATTCTTGCTTTGTAAACATCGTCGCTTGGTGCACAGGCCTTACAACGCAGGAAATAGGTGGCAGACCAATGTGTCCGGTTTCCAGTTTGTTATTGTTACAGCTCACTGTTTGTGAGTTTAATATTCAAAATTTAGTGCACTTCTGTCAGCTTTTGTTTTCACCATAACAAAAGAACTTTTCTATAAGCACACTTTTCTAAGTGGACAATCACCACATTTTTTCGCAGATGAAATAAAGGGAAAACTGCGCATAACTATGATAAAATATTTCTAAATCATTTATTGTTGTATCTTCAGCAATTGGTTCTGTGACCCTTTTCTTTGATGACTTTGGGCAGACCTTTAGCAGAAGAGCATTGCTCAGCTCTGTCACACTTCCTTTGACTACAAACACACTATTGAAAACTGAGTTGTTACACGAATGTTGTTTCGTGTGGAGAGTTGTTGCCCCCCAAAAGGGCACGAATATGTATCCTGTCGCAGAGAACCAAGAGGATGGTAATATTTCTTTCTGTGTGTGAATTTTACAGAATGAACTTGCTAATAAACCTGTTGTGTGGCCCCACGCTGGGCGCCAGTGTAGTGCACAGTTATCCTGAAGGAGTACGGCTACTAGAGTGGGTTCGGTCTTAGCGAGCAACAAGTCCGCGTTCATCGTCCCCTCGCGTGACTAACGCTGCTGCACACACACGTTCTGACCATAAGGGTGCCAAGCGAAGCGTGGCAAGTACACAGTACTGCCCCTCAAACAAGTCGCAACACTTTATTGCCTGCGGCAACACCAAGAATGCAGTACAACACCCGCTGCAAAGGTGTCGGGGAAGCAAACGAGGCTTATCCACACCACGGGCAAAAGTACAACACAGAAGAGGGAGTCGTGAGCACGTCTCTGTGTGCAAAAGAGTTCGTAGTAACACGCCGCTGAGGGAGACGAGCCCTCGCGAGTATCCTGCGCACTCTCGCGCTTGGGAACAACAGGGTCCGTTTGCTCGAATAAGGGCAAACTCCGCTCGCGTACGGGTCGCCAAAATACGACCACGTGCAAACACACCGCACTGCTCTTCGGCTTAGCGTTCAGAAGAGGCAATGAGAAGTAAGTATTTGCCATGGGCACAAAGTACCGTTGGCAAGTCTGTGGGAACTCCAAAAACAAAGGGAGCCTACGTGCGAGAAAAAAAATGTGTGGTCACCGTTCGCTGTTTCGAGAGGATCTCTCGCTCCTACATCGCGCGTGCGCAAAACGTCTTGGGAGACTCTAGCGCAGTGCCACCATCGACAATCGGTACGATCCAGTGCCGGGTGAGAAGAGCCGATTTCACTCCTGCTGTCCCAGCAACGATGGACCGTAGACAAGGGGAGAGTCATGTTAGGACATGACAACGGCAGAAATAGGCAAAAAAATCCGTGCAATGGCGGCGGGCTAGCCCCAATTCTCATAAACCTCAAGATGATTTCAGTGTCAAAAAGTAATGTAGTACTCTCTTTCTTTACAATACCTGTGAGCATCGTTTGATAATAGCACTGTAGAGGAAAGTTACTGCATAGATCTAAGAGCAAACGGCTCCTGCGGTGATCATCCACAATGTGATGCCGTTTGTGTGCTGTGTAATTGTACGAGGCACATTTGTTAGGCGGGTACTTAAAATCTGGTGTTTGCTTGTTTATACGACCACTTATACACAAGTTGCCCAAAACGTGAAACAGTCACTTATTGGAACGATTGCAAAGAAGTTGGTTATGGGTCCAACCAGTTTTGGTATTCCTGTAATTTATGCCTGCAAATAAAGAATTGAATTGAATTGAAAGAGGGTATATATTCATGATGTGAAAAAGTTGAAGTACCGTATTTACTCGATTCTACCGCGCCCTCGATTGTAACGCGCACCCGATTTCCACCGCGAAAACAGAAAAAAAACGTAAGACATCGATTGCAACGCGCACCCATTTTTTTTTTCGCTGGCCCGCACGATCACACCACTCGAAAAAACGATTCCTTTCGGGATTGTCTTCCATTTAAATATCAGGTACGGGCGAAGCTTGTGCCCATCTGACGTGTAACAGAGCATTGCCGTCACTGTAGTTTTACCGTGGACCGATGTCAGCACGCGAACTTGCTTCGCCCCTTCTTCTCGACAGTTGTGGTGCCAGGCATGTCGAAGAGGCGTCTGATCGGCATTCCAGATTTGCCCAAGCAGGTAGACGTTGTTGCGCCGCAAGTTTAGGACGAACCTCTGAAAACTGTAAAGCTTTTTATCGTACTTCTCCGCAAAAGTTTTCGCATATGCATGTTCCCCCTCGGAGGGAAGAGCCTTTCCTCTTCATATAGTTAATTAGCGAGCACCTGCTCCCTTTAAACTGGCTCCGCGTTAGACTTTTTTCTAAGACTAATTGCATAGCCCGCACTTGGAGCAGTTCTGTCGTCACGGGCCGCTGTGCCACTCGCTCCTCAAGCACATACTCGCGGAGCAGCTCTTTAATTTGCGAAAACCGACCCTGCTGTGGTTCACTGAAGCCTTTGCGTGAAGCTTTGCTGTCGACAATCTTCTGCTTTTGTTTCCGCTATGCCTGCAAATAAAGAACTGAATTGAATTGAAAGAGGGTATATATTCATGATGTGAAAAAGTTGAAGTATATGGTGTAACGTAGGCAGACATAGACTTCACATGGTGTGAAGAAAAGAGATAATATTAAAAAGTCGTACTCTACTATGCTATGGTTTTCTTTTTCTTTTTAATTTTTGGCACATTGGGATTTGCTGTTTAACTCAGTGGCACCATTGAATGCAGGTTGGTGATCTCTCCGTGTCTCTGAAGGCACCGCAACGCAACAAGCACTTCCGTGTGCACGTGGAGGATGGTGTGTACTGCATTGGTCAGCGGAGGTTCTCCAATTTGGACGATCTTGTGGAGCACTACAAACGGGCGCCCATCTACACCAGTCCCAAGGGGGACAAGATGTATCTGGTGCGGCCCTTTCGCAAACCCTGACCCCGGTGGCTGACGCTGCCAATCTTTTCTACGAGGCCGCTTCCGGCCCCAGTTTGTACGCGTCTCTCCTACTTACTAGTCAGTGCCGTCGTGCTTGTCCGCCATTGTAAGGTCTCTTAGGCCTGGCCTACTCGGGCTGTGCTGCGCTCGACGTCCTGAGGAGTTGCACGCTGCTGGTGAGGTGAAGAAGTCTGCTCGACGCGGGAAGAGACAAGCTGCTGCTGGCAGATCTATTACTGCAGCGTAGGTTGCAGCACAGGCAGATCAAATAGTGGGCTGCTGTAATGCTGTACCTAAGGCGCTACAGCAAAGCCCGAATTGATCGCAGCAGCTTCCGAAAAGTGTAATGTCGTTGCACTGTTCCTGTGCAGTGCTGGCCGACACTGCTTCCGAGCCCGATACTTCAAATATCTAGGAGCAAAGTCGGATAGGAAAGTAGATTGCTGAATTACTTTAGTTCGTCTCAGGTGCAGCAGAAAAAAAATACCAAGGTCTTGACCTTGTTAAGCCACTGCATGCCGAACAGCTTTGGTTGGTTGCAAATGGTTGGATAATTGCAGTTTCTTCCCTTCTGCACTTTCTGGGATTCTGCAGAACCGTTTGGCCATGTCCTGCGGCAGCTATGTCGGTAAAAACACATCTGTAACAGCCCACGTGCCTCAGCACATGCACCCCTCCCAAAGCATTGCCATGCGACAGTAGCTTACTTCTATTGAAGGAGGGAGTAGAACAAATGTGAAGCTTATGAGCGTGTATCTTTCTAAACAGCTCTTTAATGGTCTCAGAACACCAATAGTCTTGGTGATAGTAATCTGTGAGCTATCTTGGGATGTTTTCTACCGCAGGGTTTCTGGAAAAAGCTAGCAACACTAATAGGAATACTGAAGGCTCCTTCAACAGACTTAGGGCATTTGCAAACATAGGCTGTCAATGCGTAGGTTGTGTACGTTGCAAGGTGACTGAAAATTTAAAAAACCAATACTTGGATCCCAATGGAACCACTAGGGCCATGAGTATCATGACATCACATATGCACACTTGGTGCTTCTGCATCAAATGCATGCGTCTGAATTCTGCACGTAGCTATCGAACATTGTCTTAGTATTATCAAAGGCATGGGGTGTGGTAGCTCCAGATACTTAAATGGGATTCAAAAGGCTTGTTGTGAAAGCTTAACCAATGATTCCTGTATTATGCAATTAGTGCAAACCCATGTATGTGCCACACAGCAAGGAAGGTAGAGGGAGCTCTGCCATGGCTGGGATTGTGAGGGAGATCGGTTATGGACTCCGACATTGAAGAACCGCTGTATGCACGCACGGTAGCCAAGGTCGTGGCTTTACTACTTTCATTTGCTTCTGTATTGTCGACAATAGACTTTCGTAAAGAAACCTTGCTGTAGAACACTTCCTGGATGGCTTTTGCTACTCCTGTACACAGCTACGACCTAAGAAAAAAATATATAATAATGCCAGCTCTGCCCACAGCCATTACTGTGCCTCCCACAGATCATTTGCATAAGCACTCCATCATACAGTATAGTGCTTACATTTTTGTGACATCAGCCGGTTTTTTCGTGTTTCAGATAGTTAATAATAATTGTTGGGACTTAGTGTCCTAAAATCACAATATGATTATCAGGGGTGTTGTGGTGGAGGGTTTCCGAACAACCGGGTGTTCTGAAACATGCACCTAAATCTGAGTACACTGGCTTTGGTCATTTTCGTCTTCATTGAAAGTGCGGCCGTAGAAGTCTGGATTCAATCCTGTGACCGGAGGGTCAGCAATCTAGCTACATATCCACAAGATCAATGTGGTGGCTTATTTAGGTGGTTGGCTTTTCTGTGTTTGTGTTGCTGGTTTCAGATTGAAAACTTATTGTCGTGGTAAATTTCGTGGGAGATCTTGACATTGTTACTCACATAAATGTAATGTTCTAGGCAGTAACAATGAACCTTTAACTTCTCATGTGCATAGTATTTACATTAGACAAGAAAAAGTGCTTACAAGGTTAGAGTGGAAACAAGTTAGCACGTGACTGTCTTTCACAGGAAAAGTGCAAGTGCTCCCCACGGTCCTGTGGGCAGTGCTGAAATTTTTTGTTAGGTTGTAAAAACCATATTTGCACGAATTTAGCCGAATAAAATGTAGGTTGACACCCTAAAATAGCACAGGCAAAAAAAAAGAGTACAACCACATTTTATAAAAAAATTTATTTACAATGTATTAAAAAAAATCAAATTTTGGTGTGCTAGGTAGCTTTATGGCAGTTTTTGAAAGCTGTGCAGGAAAGCTAGCTTTATGGGAGCATGTGGGAATCGTTTTGAAAAAGACTTTACAACTGAAACTATTTTTTAGATTCTAGGTTGACCCTCTAACTTTGAATTTCAAGTTAAGACAGAATGGGTCGACCTATAACCGTGTAAATACGTAAGATAGTGTATAAGTGAAATTTTCAGTATAATCTGGTGAAGGACCTTAAATCATATTTGTGAATCGGAAGTTGATCCCAGAGTGCTCTTTGCTTAGTACTGAGCGGGCTTGTGCTGCTAGCAACCGTGATCTCTATCACACTGTGATGCGGAAAATCTTGTGCAGTCACGGACTGCTTGAGCGGAACTGGAGCACAATAGCTGAGGGAATCACCTGGTAAGCAGGAATACCTTTTGCATTCGGAATATTTTTGTGGGGAGCAATTTTCTGAGCTTGTTTATGGCTAGCTTAAAATATAGAGCGAATATGTTGCATTTAGTGTTTTATGAGCACTGGATTAACCCATACTCCATGTTTGATAACGGGATGTTCACGTATGCTTCTCCTATCTGATAAGTAACATGGATGCCGCATGTTTTTTTACTCATCCTTCACATCACGTCTCTCGACAATCGCGCACCGTGATGAGGAAACTGATATCCATAGTTCACTCGAGCACATTTTTTTACGTGCGCAGATGCTTTGTACCGTTGCATGTAGGCTTTTTAAAGTACAGTGTGTGAAGCACTTTATATGTATTGCTGCCTTTGGCTTCCCATGAAAGCTGTGTATACCGAAAAGCCGTGAATTCGGCACAGTCGCTCATGTGTGTGAAGCACTCATAAGTGAGAGAAGCTAGGTATAATGTGATTGCATGCATAGATAAATAATTTTAATTTTATTATGTGACCTTGTTAAGCGTGTTTTCAACCCCAGGTGCAAGCTTAGAAAAGCTGAAACTATCACGCAGGAACGCTAGTAGGTAGGCACCTGTTCATTGTCTAATTTCTACTGCACCCAATTATTTGTGAGCTACAAGGCCTGGTATGGGACCCTTGCACTCCTATGGTTGCACCACTTTGCACCCTACAGTCAATTACAACCGAAGAATAAATATGTTTTCATACGCAGCAACCGTCGTTTCAGGTAAGAGAATTAAGAATGGATGCACCATTTAATCTTGTGTGCTTACTTTTGAGACGTCACGCACTTCTGTGTGTTTGAGGCTGTTTATTTTTATGACGCAGATGCATGTTTTTGTTGCTGATTTTATAAAGGAATCTTCATGCTCCGACGAATTTTGAGATTCTCACAACGGTACTCAACCAGAAAGTACTTTACTCAGAGAAAATGTTTTATTTGGCAATACGCCTAGTATTTACATTAACAGAGAGAATGTGTTAAAAAAAAACAGCTACTTGTGTGGCTCTTTTACAGGGGCAAAGAGCAAGTGCACTACGATTTTTTAGGTAGTTATATTTATTCTTGGACTGTAAATGACTAAATGTGCATGCACATCTTGACAACTGTTGCATTATGTGCAGATCTTTTCCTCATACCTTTGATTTACAGTGGTCAAGCCCGGTGCTTTTAAAAAACAGTCACAATCCTAGCACCACCTCAGGTGTATTCTACAGACCACTTTTTAAACAATTCTTAAATTGCTGCGGGGGAAATTTTGCATGATAAAAAACTTGTGCACATACACTCTGGTGGCACCTGTCGTGTAACCAATTGCCAGCTTTTTGATCTACACCAGTGGCAGCTACTAAATTTCTGTGGCAAATGAGTATAATGGATGTTTTTGTGCTCTTGTGAATTTAAGGGCTAGTTTTTTTTTTTTTGCTTTAGACAATATTAATGAGAATAAACAGACAATATTTTCTTGGTATTGTTGTCTATTCGTTCTCATTAATATTGCTGTATTTTGCAGCTATTTGCCTCAAACTCTATATGTTTTTAGGTTCAAACTCTATATGTTTTTTAGGTGCTTGCTTGTCGGCTGTTTCAGGCTGTTTTACTGTCATTTGGTACACTTGTTAGCTCTAAGTCGTGGTGCCAGCTGGCAGACTACATTCTATTTGGGAAATGTAGACTACTTGGGAAACTCGCAAGTTGTAGAGTTGTCTGGTAGCACTTAACAAGGGGAACATGAAACCAACTTAGGCTGGTGTAGTATCCTCTGAGCGTTGCGCTTTTGTTTCTTGGGCAATGGATGATATTTAATGGAGAAAAAAAAATGTAAATTGCTCTTTAGAGCTGGTGTCAAAAGTGGTCCCACACCCATGCATGGACATTGTGGTCTTGATTGCCGAGAGTGACAATGGTTCCGAACAATTGCCACGTTGCACCTTTGCCTATATTCTCATACTGTCCCATATTTCTCACTTAACAAAAAAAAAATACGCTAGCCATGAAGAGATGTTTTTGAAATTTACGGCATCCTGGCTGCTGCGGCGACTTCGAGGTGGCTTCCTCTGCCCCTCTTCCAAATTTGCATGCTGTCCACTTCATTGAGGCTATCTCACTTGATATTTCGTAAATGGTACATACCACCATTGAATGTGGCTATTTGAAACAGTAAGCATGGTGTGACCTACCTTTCTCTGTGCTCATGACGTGTGGCTGTGAATTCTGCTGGTGCCACAATGCCGGTAGACATTGGTTTTATGTCTAGGCACGCAGTGTTCTCAAGTTAGATACTAAGCACTGTCGTTACTTTTCGATGTGCGGTATTTCAATTGTGTCCTCCTCAGTATGCTGCATGTGGAATTTTTTGCTGCCAAAAGCAGAACATGTAAAAAGAATTTTTTTCTCACGGTGTACAAGTTTAGTCAAAACAAAAACTGCCAATCATGATCGCTGTGCGCTAGAAACCTACCAGGAGCCATACAACAGTGGCAGCATGGCGAGGCATCGGGTCTGTTCTGAGCTTTATTCTCAGCGTTTCAATAGACGTGTCACTCGAGCACAGCCAGAGCAGGCCAGTCGGGGAGATCTTCCCCTTTACTCTTCCCTTCTTCCCTCTGCTGCGGCAGCCTGAACATTCCACACAAAGGTCCCACGGGCTGCCGGAAGTGCAGCGTGCGTGCAGCTAGAGGCTTCCCATCTCATCTGCCTGCCTGCCTGTCCATCCTGAGGCAGCGCTCAAGGACGAGGCAAACACACAAGGCTCTCTTGAAATGCGCTAACCGCATTTATGAGGCTGTCTTAATTTATTTGACGGATTGTATGATGGGGCTGTGTGCGACACGGTAAAGATAAGCAAAGCATGTGAATGAGTAACATTTATTTTGCTCTGTGTGTGACTTGAAAGGGTTTGAATAAAAAGTACAAGCCTCTGTGTGTGGTGCGACCCTTTCTCATGCACTTATATCCAGTGGGCGTTTGGCATTGTGCGACTGCTTTCAGTGAGCGTGCCTGGGCAGGAAGCACAGCAGGGTGAAAATGTGCATTTTTAACCATACTAGTGAGCATTCTCCAGAAAGCTATGCGAGTGTCCTAGTTTGCGAGGCTAATGAGATACTTGGTTGAAATTAAAGGCTAATTATTAACTTGCCTATTCTTTTAAATAATGCTTATCATTTAGTGATATACTGGTCACAATTCTCCATACTATTTCCATATGAGCAGATTCTGAATTTCATTCAGCACAACTGTAACAGACATCCACTTTTTTTTTTAAAGCTGCCCGATAAGTGAAAATCCTTTAAGGGAAGGTGTAATACGGCTCCCAGAAAAATTAAAAAGCCTTAAGTACCAAAGCGGCCCTTCCCAATAACATGCAACTACTGGCCTGTCTGAAGTGCCTTTGAGAGCACAATTTCTGAGTGTGCATGTGTGTGCATGTTTTATTTTCTCTCTCTCTTGCAACCTTCTACTCCTCTACCTCAGTGCTGGGTAGCATACCAATCCTAGCATCTGGTTAACCTCCATGCCTTCCTTTTTTCTCTTTCTCTATTTTATAACAGCTGCACTGAAGTGGTCTTTCATGGTACTGCTAGAATGAAGAGCACACTTTTTTTTTTTTTGGCAACAGTGAGCCAAGTGTTAGCAAAATTCAGCAAATGCGAGAAGCAAAAAATGCAGCCCACGATACACATGGGTTGTCTGAACAAAAGTACAAGTTCCAGATGTCTGACCAGCACAAGATTAGCTACATCACATACACTTCTTTCCATTATTGTGTAAGCACACACACATCGGGAAGAAAGTATTGAAAATCAAGGAGTTCGTTTATATCGGTAGATCATGCTGCCAAGGGCGTAGTGGGACTGTGGCACGCCGGGCCAGGTTCACGCTCCTGGTTAGTGGAATAGGCTTGTAACAGCACTGAGGCTGTCTCTTGCATTATCAGTCTATCGATGATAGCTGTAATAGTAATGCCTGCAGAACTGTAACACGCTCTTGCTATTTGAGTCTTCTAGTTATCTCTGCATGTTTTCTGTATGCATTTCATGTGCTTTGCATGAGATCTCTACAGGTGTAGCTTGTACAGTGTGCGGTAGTTGCAGTTAGGTATACAATGTACAGATAATGCATAGCCCATGCAAAAGTTTTACTGCTACGAAGACAGCCTATATCTAACTCTTATTAGAGTTGTATAATATTTTTCTATGACTTTATCTGCTACTGCCAAGTGTAAACTGATCTGGAGTGAAGTAGCTGAACATTCCATTCCTTTTTATGCTTTTCGCCGCCATTAGCCGTCTGCGATTGGCCGAAGCACACCTCGTGCATGCTTTAACCAATCGTGCACGTATAATGGCGACGAAAAGCATAGAAAAAAGGAATGGAATTGTTCCGCTATTGCACTCCTGCTTCTCAATCTCAATAAATTTGTATCTTCTTTTGCCCACGTTAAGTTATTAAAAGTGCTGTGAAGTGGCATCGCGGAAGACTATTTCAATGTATACCTATTCAAAAGTGGCCAGAGCAGTGCTAGGAAAGAAAAATCCATAGTTCCATAGTCAGTGGCCACAATGATTATTTGACAGCAAAATGCATAGCATTGTGAAGCAGTATCAATGCTTCTGTTTTCAACTTATAGTACCATACCAGCATTTCATCGTTAAGAATAATGATGATTTGTGACCATATTTTGAGGACTTGTCTCTCAACGTTGTATTTAGTTACCCTTCAAACTCGTAGTTGCACTTGGAGGGCCGCTAGAGCACCTCTGACATTTATTTAACATTTCAAGTAAACAGGCACATTGTGTTACGAATGTCATCACGGTCAACGATGCCAAGCGCAGCTCTGCTAAGAGCTATGGGTGCCCCACAAATTCCAAGGAACATTCCCTTCTCTCTAAGCTTTTTGGCAGTGTTCAGACCCTCTGTGTTCACTGCGACATGAACATTTTCATCTGCTCATCATTCACAATACCCGTTTGTCAGCTCGCAGGTATGGGCGCTTGCTGCTTTTCCTCCTCACTCAGTGAGGGGAGCAATGTCCAGGAGGAATGACAGGCTAATGAATGGAGCATAGCAAAGGAAATAGTGAAACCAGCGAGGGCCTTTTTTTTGTATAATCAAAGGCATGGTGTTACGACACCATTTCGAAAAATTCTCATGGCTACGTGTTCATAATAGACACACGCACAACTGCAACACAAACAAATTTTGACCTCTGGGTGGTTTAAGGGTCTTTTAAAATAGCTGTTTGGGATGGAATAATCAAAAGCAGTGTTATTATGACAGCAACAACTGTGATATTTGGGTGATGACACACGTTCAGCTTACCTTTGTTTGTGCACTACTTTATAAATCAGAGACAAAGCAGAATATGCCGTTACAGCATTTTATTTCAAGAGAGGCAAGACACACACATTTACCAAGCTGGAATCAAAAAAGATGTCTAGAACATGTAGCTGATAAACCGGTGACAGCATAATGCCGATGGCCCCGCTCTTGCAGGAAAGTAGAAGCCCCGCCCTGTTTTTTTTTTTTTTTTTCCGACGAATTAAGACATGATCAACCCCCATAAAAACCTGCACTTAATATTTCCTCTTTTAAAGGTTACTGGTAAATGCATCTGTACATAAGAACAATTGTTAAGCCTTTTACAACATTCTAAGCAGTAAAAGAAAGTATCTCTTCAAATGAGAAGTGCCAGAGTATTATCAGAGGACACCAGAACTGCCAAAAAAAAGAACAAGAATGAAAAAAACATTTCCAGGAGGCAACTGGCTTTGACACTGCAAGCAGACAAGATTCTCTCTCTTTCCGTCTTTACTGCCCTCGTATTGTCTCTCGCACTGATGTTCAAGATTGTATAATATGCAGGGTTTTACACTACCTCCGTATAAATGACTGCCATGTCTACAGCACACAAGCTTTTTTTTTTTTTTGCTTCCTTTGAGAAAACCATGAAGTGCCAAGAGCTGAAGTGCTTAATGTGTATGGAGAAAAAAAACAGTGTACTAAAAAGGACATTGATACACTATGTAAAACCACATAAAAATAAAACAAAAACATTTGCAATCTCAAATTATCAAGCTACAACAGAGACAGACTAAGTATTGAGGCACAAACACCGGGAAAATGTAAGAAGCACGGCTCCTGCACAGCTCCCAGGCACAGTGAAGCAGTGAAGGAGATGCCGAGCACAAGAATCGCGTGCTCTTCCATTGCACAACGTTATGACCAGCTGGAGTGACTTGTGTGCAGCACCCGGTGCTAGCATGCTTAAATGCAGTTCAAGCAGAATGCAGCAAATTGAGACCAAGAGGCTTAGCTCCAGAGGAAATGCTAAGCAGCGGTATAACGTGCCCCCAGGAACCCTAAAGAGTCGATAAATTGTACTCACAGAAAAAAAAAGCGAGAGACTTCTGACCATCGAGACGGATATACAATGCAACAAAAAGTAAGATCTCTTTAAGCGTAAGAAGTATGTAAGTAAAACGAACACCAACGCTCGAGATTTTAAGACGGGAAATGGCCACACGAAGGCAGCAGATGCCGACACTTTTTAAAAGTGGCCGTAGCTTTCGGTACCGCAGTGACGAAATTGTGAAAGAGTCGCGAGCTGAAGCCCTTACACTCTGCGTCCCTGAAAAACGAGCTGTTCACGTGTTTGCAAAAACACTTTCGAATGAGAAATTTGTAAGAAGGGTTGAACACCTTTGCAGCTTGAGCATGTAGCCAGGTATGTAATCACATTGTCTGCATTGACATTATGTAGGATGTTCACCCTGAAGCGATACGAAAGGCAGCACCAGAATTGGATCCAAAATATTTGCGATTCCCAGGCTTGAAGCACCTAATAGGAGTGCAGAATCAGTGGAAAAGCTACCACTGCAAGTTAAGACGTCATATTCAAATTTGTATGTCGCAAGTAATAGCTATTTGAAAAACGGTTTGCACTCTTTGGGACTAGCCTTGTCCCTAATCAATAACCATCATTCATACTGACTGCTTTTCCTTTCTTTAATGATGTATGTTAAAACGTCGTATGCAAATTTGTATGTTGCAAGTAATAGCTTTTTGAAAATCAGTTTGCACTCTTTGGGACTAGCTTTGTCCCTAATCAATAAACATCATTCATACTGACTGCCTTTCCTTTCTTCAATGATTTACGTTAAGACGTAGTATTCAAATTTGTATGTTGCAAGTAATAGCTTTTTGAAAAACAGTTTGCACTCTTTGGGCTAGCCTTGTCTTTAATCAATAACCATCATTCATATTTGAAAAACAGTTTGCACTCTTTGGGACTAGCCTTGTCCCTAATCAATAACCATCATTGATACTGACTGCTTTTCTTTTCTTCAATGATGTATGCTGCAATCTTACAGTCAAAATTATAAATGGCATTCACATTTACTAGTAGTGTTACACCCCACTCTTGAGTGTTTTTACAGAAGAAAGTGCATACATCACAAATAATTATTGTTTAGAAACAATAGACATCAAAAAGGAAGTAAGCAGTCTTTTCGTTGTTGTTGTATTATAAGTGACTCATATACTGCTCACAGTTGCACAGACCAGAACCTGGCGGCAAGCATGTATGTTCCAATTTTCATTGCCCATAAATTCTAATATCTGCCACAATCGTACGTATAATGAGCTCAGGGCAGAGCAGAGGCATCAGTACAATGACTGCCTTGGCCAGTACTCATCTCGCCAATCCAAAGCCTGTGCCACTCAAGCCGCAGGCAACTGCTTCTTTCATGCGACCATTTCAAGGCTGCCAAAAGGGGCGCCAAAGTAGTTTCACACAAATAAATTGAGAGCTGAAGTACCGCAAAAGCGGGCAAGGGTCAGGGCTCATTCACACTGGTGGAAGCTGTGTCACATCATGCTGGTCACAAATGACCAAAGCAATTGTTTTGACTTAGTCGCCACTGGATGTTTGCCATCACAGAACTCCAGTAGCAAACCTAATGACGCATTAATAGTAGACGAGCAGGATGTTGGAATGCACCAATACCGAGTTTACATTGCAGTGGCAATGAAAGCAAGGTGAAGGACATGTATGGAGTGACAATCAGGCTGTCACCAATCGTTCCTTTGTTGCCAATCTTTGTTGGTCGTTCAAATCTTCCTCAGTATCCAGGTGAATGAGCCCTCAGGCGTGACCGCATATGGTGTGACTGAAGTGTGTTGTGCGGCCACCAACAAGTTGGCCGGTGCTCGGTGTGTGCCTCGAAAGCTGCACGAGCCCCTTACCCACCACGAGCGGTTTCTGTAGATTCTGCCGGGAGACGTGAAGTTGTGCCTGGTGGAACAATGCTGGTCGCTCGGTGCCAGTGCAAGAAACTAGTGTAAGCCTGCTGTTGTGATGTTCGACCAGCAAGTGTGCCCTCCACCTGTGCATATAATATCAGCAGAGTGTGAGGTTAAAGCGAAGTGTTGCAAATAATGCACGTGCATAGTGCACCTTAGCTGGAAGTACAATTAAGTATACCTGCGAAGGCCAACAGTGATATTTTCAGCTAAAACGCTTTCATCATTGTTCATCCACTAATGCACCAATACTAAAAACTACAAGTGCAACACGAAACAAAATACATATCAGATTCGTGTTCTCTTTGACTATGCTTGAAATTACAAAAGGCAGAGCTGTAGCTCGTTCATGTCTGCTAAGCAGAAACCCCAAGACTAAACAATGCTTTTGAGACATCCAATCTTAAAAAGTGTAACATGACATATGGTGCCCTATTTAATAGCTTTACTAAGATCATCCCACTAACAGCTCAGGTAACTTCAGCTGGAATGCAGCTGTATTTTTTAAACTGTTTTGAAGATGAGCATCATGTATGTGATGCTGTAATCCTCATAAACAGACATAAATTCTCTACTAGTTTATAACCTAAAACAAACTGAAAAGTAAGCAAGCAAGTCTTCTAAATTGACCGCATGAACACTGCAACTCCTCACGAAACTGGCACCTGCCACACGACTGAAATCAACAGAAGGCATAATGTGGTTCATAAAAAAATATTTGAAATGAAACTGGCACCTGCCACACAACTGAAATCAACAGAAGGCACAATGTGGTTCATAAAAAAATATTTGAAACGCTAAAGCATATACTACTGTCACAAACACACACAGAATAGGTAATGCTCCAGTAGCATTATCTATATTCCAAGTGCAGGTAATGGCCAATGCAGATGCATAAATACTGCTCTAATCCTAAAGAAAAGTGAGAGATAGCGAGCTGACCTAATCACAAGCCTGCATCAGAAACATAGATAAGTGGGCTTTCTCCACAAAAATCATTTCTGAAAGCCACACATGACAAAATGCACTCGTCAAATAACTTCATACCTGGTGTGGCACTTAGACACGCTCGTATTTGGCTTTGTTGATATTTGAGGCCAAGCAGAAGGACAGCAACACACCAACAAGCTGGAAGAAAACAAAAAAAATACTTTCACACTGAGAAAACATTGTCAATAAGTTTTTCAAAGGCTGCAGGCCATCCTCGAGACTAGCGGCATATTCTTCATTAAAGCATACTAGCAATTCATATGCCCGATTTAAGCTGTGAATGTATTGCTAGCATGTCTAAGCAAAATTAAGCAGCCTACAAGCTATCAGCAGTCAACAGCGCAATGGTCTTAGCTGCAATGGGAGTTCAAAATACCATTCGTGATTCTCATGAGTAAGTAGCATATGACTCCAAGCGGCCCTGTTATGTGAACTATCACTTCATTTGATTTGGTTTGTTACAAGTTCCTCGTATTCTGGCAAAATCAAAGATGGCAAAGAGTAATTAAAAGTTATCTGTTTGCAGCCTCACCTGAAAGAATGCAAAGCCGACAGCACCTCCCGCAATGGCACTCAGATTTGTGTCCAGGAAACGAATGACCTTCACATAGCAGCCCTGCAGAAACAAAATCAGAACACAAGTTCTGTGTTTCAAACAGATGCTTATTCACAACTCTGACACACAATGCATGAAGCTACCCTTAGCAAGAAAACATAAGTCAAGCTAGTTCAGGCTAATGTAAACCAGCCGTGCTTTAGTAATAAAATAATTAGGTTATTGTGAATACTGTTATACTCTCTTACAACTATGCTTACACTAAATTTGTCATGAAAAATTCAAATCATCTCACTGCCACACAGCCCGCGCATTTCATCAGTTTGAGACGACGCGCGTGAATTAACGGCTCTTTTATAATTGTACTTCAACTCATTAATTAGGTATTTCCCTGCAGTGCCACACTCAAAGCAAGTACAGAATTGTGAAAATCTAGTGAATATGAGACAACTGAGAACTCATAGACGAAACAAGTATCATGTAAGATACGACAACTGCAAAGCAGCACAAGGACTGTTAAGAAAAAATCGCATTATTTCAAAATTTATTGGAACTTAAATGCAGTGAATGAATCTTGATTGCTCAAAACTTCTGCACAACAACCAGGGTATAGAGAACAAAATGAGTTTGTGACCACATCTGCAGTGGAGCCACTAGGTCACCTGAGCAAGTACTGCTACAGTATAGCTCCTTCTAAGAAGCATGCGAAATATGACATCTTTAGGTTCCAGAAGTGGTTGTGCATTTGGACAGTGTAACTGGTATAAGTGCTGACAACTTTTCAAAAGCATCTACATATGCACACCTCCACTTCTGAACTGTGCTGAGTGCTCAGTCATTACTATTTACAAAGAAAGACTATTAGGCAAGTTTCCTTTTAATTAATTCAGTGGGTAGGAATAAGATCACTTACACTCTTATCCACTTTGTCAGTTCCAAGCATACCTACAATTCAAGTGCTACAACATAACTAGCCCAAGTTGTCGCCTGTAGTGAGTTTTTTTTTATGTGGAGCAGGTTTTTACAGTAGAGGGTCTGAACTGAGGCTGGAAGGTACTTACAACAAAAGACAGTGCAAAACACTATGGCCCAAATATCCCGTCTTTCATCATTTTATCTTGGAATGTTTTTTGGCCACTACTAAAAATAGAGAACTCTGCAAATATGTCAATTCGCAAGCACCCCACAGATTAAAGCAATGCGTATGTACAACAGTTACTGTTTTTCAAACAAGCCGACTCACAATGTACACATTTGATCTGATGATGTGGTTGCTTGTTTTTTAGCACTACAGAGCACTCTGGAAGTGTGCATCACATTCAGCTGATCGAAATTGTGTGATATAAATAGGTCTGGCTGGTTCTTTCAGAGCACTGTGATCTATCTCAGAGTGCTCTGAGGCCATAGCTATGCAAAAAAAAAAAAAGAAAAGTGGAGCTCACTTAGACTCATTTGAGAAATGTATTTTGCGCTTAGGGCTCACTCCAACCCGCCAAAGGTTTCCTCAACAGGACTCACTCGGACTCAAACTCAATAAACTTTTTTTTCAAAGGGACTCGCTTTAACTCGCAGACCGATATGGTCTGAGTGAGTTTTTTTTCTGAATTTTCGCTACCTAAAATCGACACTCGTGTTACAATCATGTTTACGAAATTCAAGTTGTCTAAAGAGCGCCAGGATGCACACAATTTTTTATTTGTTTTACTTATTTATTTTTACTGGACACAATTGAAAGCCATCCCTTGCGTTACAATTGTGGTCACGTAACAATAGAGTAAATATGGTATGTCTAAGGTGTTCACACCAAGCCTGATCACGCTACTCTGGCAGTCTTCATTCTGGGATTACATCAGCCACAGCTGCAACTTACAGTATATACTCGTGCAATCCTCGCACTCGCATAATTCTCGCACCCCCGACATCGCCCGACAAAAATACGATTTTTTTTTTCTCGAGTAAATATCGCACCCCCGAAAATTGCCGCAATAATGTTGTCTGCTTGTTCCAGCCACTGATGCTAATAGCATGCCCCGTCTGGTGCCATCTCCTAAGCATAGAGCTTACTATTATTGCATCGAAATTCAATCCAATCCAATCCAAGCCAAAGTGGCAAGTGCGCGTTGCTGCGCGATTTGTATGTTGTGTCTGTAATCTTGTTACGCTATGGGGCGATACGGAAGCTACATGGCTGCTTTCAAGTTGAAAGTGATTGATCATGCACTAAACAACGGCAACACGGCCGTCGGCAGGCCTTCATAGTAAACGAGCTTTGTGTTTGGTACTGGTGACGGCAGCTGAAAGCCACCAAGACATGCTGGGCCTTCCGTGTGCCTAAGACTGGGATTGATGGTTAACTTTATTTTTTCAGAAGGCAACTGCGGACGATTCTGTTAAATGGCCATCAGCCCAATACTGACGTCCTTCGCTTACCTTTTGCGGACTCCTGTAGAGCGAAGAACGCTACCGCTACGCCCGTAACGCCCACAAGCTTTGAGTACCGTATTCTAATTCTCGACTATTTGATTGCGCCTTTTGTGTCTCAAATAAATTTTGCCTTGTGTTGAACCTGTGGTTTTATTGTTCTGGCGTGAGAATCCCGACCTGCGGCCACTTCATTTTCTTTTTCGCTCTGTACGTTTTCATGGAAAGTTTTCCCCGCGTAATTCTTGCACCCCCCAACTTTGCATCGGTTTTCCGCGAAAAAAGCGCGAGGATTATGCGAGTAAATACGGTAATTTGTTTGCAACAAAACATGCACGAGAGTGTTTCCTGTTCCGACCTGATTGCACTGAGAAGCAACTGCATGTTCAATTTGAACACACCATCCCTGGCTCAAATCAACAGTGGCCTCCACGGCAGTGGAATGGCAAGCCCAGTGTGCGACAGGCTTGATGCCATAGCACAGGGAATGTTAAAGACAGAATGAATTCGCCCAGGCATATCTCGTACCTGATGTATGAAAAAAAAAAACAGAGCCAAAGTGAACTCAGTGAAGCAGACCACAAGGGTACACATGCCTACCTCTTGGTGCAGGGTAGCATCCCCTGCGGTGCAGGTGTCACGGCTAGAGCAGCAGCTCTTGGGGTAATGCTGGCTCTTCTGGAAGAACTCAGTGTCGTTCCAGTCTTCCGGACTCTTCAGGCCACAGCATGACAACTGCAAGCACATAGCACGTTTCGTGTCACATTCTCATAATTATTTACATTAAAGAACACAAGGGGCTTTTTAGAACAATAAATGGCAAAAGAAAAATCTCAGTGTTATTTCTTCCATTACTGATGCAGAACCTCACCAACGTTCATACATCCTAGGTAACAGCAGTTTTAACCACAATGGCATTTTATATCACATCAGTGATCAATGATGTTTTTATTCTCTTAGTTTCACTTTTTTGTGGGGGAAGGGGGGGGGGGAGATATACAGCTCCTCGCAAGCTTTTCTTAGCTTTGACACAAACAATTTTGATCATTTTTGCTGTGCTGAAAAGCGAAATGTTAAAGGGTGCAAAATTCTATCAGGTGTAACTTCAGGAACTTATAAATTCTTAGAAAAGTGTAACAAGAAAAGCCCTTTATTTTCAGTGATTCAAATGGGAACTTCGAAGCTTCATGACCTTACTTTATGAAGGCTAGAACCTTAAGAATATACATATTGCACCCCTTGAAATCTGTGAATTCCAATGGCATTCAATACAGAAAGTACTGTGTAGCCAGCTTAATGAGCATGTGATCAAATGACGTTTACATGAATATTTCACTTTAATATTGATGGCATAGTCTTGTGGGGTCTCGGTAATGAAAGCGCCGCTCCCAAAGCGAACAGACACAGCAGACGGGGTTCGGCCGAACCAAACAAGACGTTTATTTTAACTACTTTTGCATCGACAATATCCTCAGCCGAATCAAACCTATACATTCTAATGACACGCTAAAACAACCTTGCATAATATTCCAATACACTAAATCAAACCTAAGAACAAATGCAAGGTAACGCGAAGGTGTCGCCGCCGATGTTCGACTGACTGCTAGGGACCCACTGGAGACTGCCCATGATCACCGCATCCCGTGGGACCTTGTCGGGAGACAACCATCCATGCCTGCCGCCATGTGCCAAAGAGGGTCCTCAATCATTTCTGTCCATTCTAGCCTCGCCGCCAGGCATCACTGCTGGCGCTACCGTGCTAATCGTAACCACGACCTACTGTACTCCTGACCTGCCCAGATAGCCTCTCTTCAGCGCTTACATCTATCTAGTTTGTACCTTCTGCCGCTAGTTCCATAACCTAAGAGCGGCGTGGCGCTAGTCAGCATTTATTCACTGATGTCACCTTCAGCGTTTGTGGTCGTCTTCGGTTAACAGAGCGCTCATATTGCATAATTATTATGCACAAATAAAAAATAATTACGAAATAAATATACCAAAAGTCATTCAGAAATGGTTTGTAACTAAATTAATGCGACACCACATTGGCTGTCCTACACTATGCAAGTCTACGAGTTCACACGTTTGTCAACCATTGTGCAATAAACACTTTACCACACTGAACAGCTTACTTGATCAGCCATCTAAGTGAAGAAATAGTCGCACATATGCCAGCAGTTCATCACAGAATGCAGGCATTCTTATTCCAGCGTCGTCCAAACAGCCGTAGAGTAGCAGACGAACAGGTTATAGGTAGTGCTATCAACTGTGAGTGGTTGAACGATAGCGAAGACATGCACTCTCATAGCAACCCCACCATATGGGCAGGTCAGGATTACAGTAGGTCGTGACCATAACAATTATGATGATGAAGATCACGTGCGAATGTTGCTGACACCTACTGCCCAGCGACTTAAACCCTAAATGCGGCTCATCCGCGAGACACACGTTCGCCATATAGTGCAAACAACTTGGCAGGGGGTGGTAGCAGTCCACAGTCTCTATAAAAACTAGAAGTCATATTTAATATCAGCACATTAAAATACATTACTAAAGTGAAGTTCCATATTAAAGTACAGATAGACGAGGTAAGTAATGTAAATAAAGGAGAAAGACACTCACATGCCAGAACAAGCTCAGCTGTAGAATAAATCAGCTGTAATACATGTGAAGAGCAGGAATACTTTTTCCGGTTCTCTTAAAGCTGCTGCAGAGAAAGTGCTTGTGCTGTGTTTTACCAGCTTCACGTGGTACTAATGCATGAACAGCCCACATTTAATACCGCCTCCACGCAATTGTGCTCCTGGCGGCTGCTGAAAGCTCTAGATTCCCACAACAGTGACAGCTAGTCTACTAGCATCGTCCTAAAGAGTACCATACTACCAGAGCGGCTGGCCGAGAGGTCTACCCACCACCTAGAGCACAGTCTACAGCAGCCAAACTACAGCGAACAGCGTGGTTACTATTACGTGTTTTCCTTTGTGTGGCAACAGTTATCTTGTCTTCTCCTGTAAACTTGTGCTCCCTCACTGCAAAATTTAGCCAGGTAGCAATAAACTGTAATTTAAGAATAAATGAAATTATTGTATACTTAACTTATATACACAATATAACACTAATGAAGTATGTATGTAACATAATGCTAAGAAATCAAGTGTTAGCAATACAAGTTCACAGAATGTGTGATATAAACATGGAAAAAAAAAATAGATTAAAAAAATGAAAAGCTCTTTAAAGGTTTTAATAATGTGCACTGATGAGCTTATTAATATATGTGTCACCTTTGAAAAAACTGGGCTCACGGATTAATTGGGAGCAGCTTACCAGGGAACTTTTTTCTCTTGTGTATCAACTTTTACCACTTCACAAATCCAGTGATGCCTCATCTTCATTTGTATGAATATTAAATGAGGTACACCAAGTGCCCATGTCAAATGGCATAGGGAAGTTTGATTTAACAATGTAATGCTTAAAGGGGCCCTGCGACACAAATTAAATGTGTTGTTTTCACTGCTTATTTTCAAACTGTGGAATGCACCGATACCGATGCGCGAGTGGCAACGTCAAAAATAAAGCTGTTGTACTTTTATTTCTACAGAAAAACTGCAATGCTTTCGGACTAACACAGTGGCTATCTTTGTGATCAGAAGTAATACTTACCACGTGGGAATGACAAGATAGGCCATACATTTGGATTAATTCAACGCAACAAATTGTACGTTCAACTGGATTCGTAGTTTTCTGACTAATCGGCAACAATTTGTGTACGCTAACAACCATTCATCTAACCATCTTCCCGTAATCTCTGGCGTCCCACAGGGCACAGTACTCGGACCCCTACTTTTCTTAATTTATATAAATGACCTCCCAGCTAACATTTCATCAAATATTCGCCTGTTTGCAGATGACTGCATCGTGTACCGTCCAATAAAAAACCCTACCGATATTGCTATACTTCAAAACGACCTTAACCTTATTGAATCCTGGTGTAACGACTGGCTAATGTCTTTAAACGTAAATAAGACATCGCTAATATCATTTCACCGTAAGCAACATTACCAGCAAGCGACTTACACCATTTCGGGCTCCACAATCTTAACAGCAGAATCCTATAAATACCTCGGCGTAACATTCTAAAGCAACCTCAGCTGGTCCACTCACGTTAACAACGTAGCATCCTCCGCTAATCGTGCGCTGGGTTTTCTTCGTAGGAATTTAAAACTTGCTCCCTCATCAGTGAAGTTGTTAGCTTACACCACATTTGTTCGCCCTAAATTGGAGTACGCATGCTCGGTTTGGGACCCTCATCAATCTAATCTATCTAACCTTCTCGAATCTGTACAAAATCGCGCAGCCCGGTTCATCTACTCCGTGTACTCTTATCATTCCAGCGTTTCCGAACTTAAAACTCGTGACCACCTCAACAACCTAGAATCACGTCGTCATATATCTCGGCTCTGTCTTTTTCACAAATTTTATCACGCTCCTTTCAACGTTCCAGCCATCTTGCCTGCTCATCGATTATCCAGCCGTACAAACCATCTCCGAGCCGTTTATCCACCGCCAGCGCAAACTACTGCCCACCTTCGCTCCTTTTTTGTTGCAACCGCCCGGGACTGGAACAAATTGCCTGCCTTCGCCATGCACCACTCCGACCCACATGTACTCAAGACCGTGATTGAATCGTTAATATGTTGCTAATTATGCCCCTCCCTCATGTAATACCCCGACTGGGGCCTTTGAGGTATACTAAATAAAAAAATAATATTCGCACGGTCCCAGAAAGACCACACTTGGGCACTAAAAATTATAAAAGCAGTTCTCATACATCCTGAGATACAAAATGATTTCTGTCTTTAAATATGAAAGTGCGAAAACAGTTGCAAAACAATATTAGGAGTTCTGAACAAAGGCCACCACAAGGCAACTCAAGTCGTCCGGTACGTCTCTGTGAGAGGCGCGCGGTGATTGGAAGCAGCCTTCGAAGTCGGTGGGAGAGTGAAATGTGAAATGGAACACTTTTTCTCGTCGTCTGCTAAGGTTTCAAAGTTTCAAGGTGAATAACTTCATTTCTGTGCATCGATTTTGACCATTTTTTCTTTTTTGCGCTTCATCTCAGTATTCGGCACTGTACGAACTCCAGTGGTGCAGAATGCAGACAAAGAAGCGTCACAGGGCCCCTTTAAGTTTCAACGTCGTTCAACATGAACAGTGAAGAGTTCAATGGAAACAACACAGTAGTACTTGCCTTGTCCTGCACGAAATCCACTGTCTCGTCGGCCATGCCACCGTTGCCACTGTAGTGGGTTATGGAGACGTTCATGCCACGGCCAATGCCCTCGCGCACCTGCCGGATGTACACATATCCCACTATGCCAGCTGTGAGCTCTGCCACAAAGACCAGCACCAGCAGAGAGCCGAACTGAAATCACAACCAGCACACACTCAGCTTTATCCACACAATTCATAACCATCAAGAGGCCTATGCTAGTCACTCCTGAATGGCTTAGCATTAAAACGTGGTAAAAGGCTGTTATGTTTAGAAAAAAAGAGACAAGGTAAGGGCAAAACAGAAACAGTTGCCTGAAGTGTGCAATCAAATGACATATATACACAATGCTGGAGATTGGGCTAGTTGGTTCTTCATCTTCAACAAACAGCACAGTCAATGGACAAAGATAAGCACTGACTTACAACTAGAGATTTATTGGAAATGCACATACATAAGCAATAAGCATAATTATCACAAGTAAAGTAGAAAAACTTTATCATACAGGATATAACAACTTGACACTCATTTGTTTTTGTCTTCCTTCCACATTTGCGAATCATTATTTATATCTACAGCAGGTTTCTAGAGGTCTAAACTTGAGTTGCGTAGTACTTACTCATAGCTAACAAACATCAGCATTCCTATTCTGTTCTCCTCCTTCTAATTGGTGTGGCAACCATTGCAGTGGCTTCGTTGCACACTTCCCATCATTAAAGAGAAAGAAAAAGTCCCCTGAATCTTTTTATTACTTTCGATAAAATGCCTTTACTGTTTTGTACGTAAAGAAAATGCCACAACGCAGTGCTACCAGAGCTGATGCCAATGCAAACACCTACAGAACTCTGTAAACTTGATGAAGTTCAGTAGAAGTTGAAGTACAGGTGTCCAAAACAGGCACCCCATCGTTAAATCAGCATTGTCACAGCCTGACAAGGGTGCAAATTTAAGTTCGTTGCTTTTTCATCATGTAATACCTTGGAGTACAATGTAGCAAAAAATAAAGGTGCCAGAAGAAATTACTAGTGCAATCACAAGGACACGATTACAAGTGCAAGAAACAAAGGCACAATTACAGGTGCTTGTGTTCACTTGTCATTTCTTGTATTCTTGTTTCCTGCTGCACAATACCATCCCACAAGGGGACTTGTATTTGACAGGACATCATATGCTCAGCGCTGAGCCACCAAAAGGACATTAAACTTCACCAGTGCTCTGCATACTCACAATGTACAGGAGAACAGACTGGCCCTTGGCTGTGGCCACACAGGCAAGTACGGCAACCTAGAAGTACAAGCAGGCCAGTGGCAATGAAGAGCAATGGCATGTGCCGGTTGTAGTCGGTCGAGAGTTTCAGCACGTGGTACAGCGATACATTCATCCATACTCCGAGAATGAGCAGCACCAGTCCCGTCACCTACGAAGACAAAAATGGAAGTGGTTCGATCGAACATGCCCACAAGGGACTCGCAACAGCGGCTTGTCGACATTTCAGTGCACGTCTACGAGTAGAATCACTGCAGTGTACTGAGAACAGTTAGCTGAAAAAACAAAGCACAGAAAGTGTATAACAGGTTCTTTGCAGAAAAAAGGAAGGGTGGCAGGGGAAGCTTACACATTACAGGTGCAAAGACTAAGAAATTGTGGAGCTGGTGGCATTCCTTCCTTCTTTTTCTCCCCCATGCCCTCACTTCCCTTTCCCACCCATTTGTATATTATACTATACGAGACTCCCGCTTACTATACTACACATGGATATGCTATTCCTCACTTTATGCCTCCTCTTCCCACATCACCCCACATCATTCCTCAGTTCCTTCTCTCACCCATTCATAAACTATACAATACATGGCCATTTATGCCACACCCTCTCCCCACTTTTCACCCTCACTTCCCTTACCTACCTTCTTGACATGCTTTACTATACTACATGTGGCTACGGTACTCTTTCTTTTGTTCATTCTCTCTCTTTCAGTCTTACTTTTTGCTTTTCTATCTCATTTTTGTGCATGCTAAATCTTTTTCTCTCCCTGTGTTGTTCTTTCTCTGTCTTTCTATCTTTTTACGTCTTTCTTACATTTTCTCCTCTGGGTACTTCTTCTCTTGCCCATCAGGGTTGTAGCATTCAATGCTGGGCAAACCGGTGCACGTGTTGGAGAGAAGCACATGAAGAGACAAAAAGAGGGTGTGCCACTTCATATTGTTAATAATTTCCTGTACTGCACTACACAATGCAACAAAAAGCTTAAACAGCCCAGCTGTTAAAGGGCACACTGGTCAATATTAATTAAAATTATTTTTCTTAGCTGTAACCCCTCTAAGTAATGAAGTGACTTTGATCAGTATATCGGGACGAAAAGCAACATACACTAGCCACTTAGGCAAACAGCTGACAATGACGTGCAACTGTACTTTGTGCTTAAAAGCGCTTCATATTACATGCAAGTAACTTGTAATAGGATGCATGGTTGAACCAAATTAATGAGGAAGCTGCACAATCATTGATAATCCAATACGGTGTTTTTTAGAAAACACACTAAGAAAGTAAAATGTAAGATATATACTTCGTCACAAGACTTAAACTGGAGTTACAGGTCCCACTAATTGAATTACCTCACAAAGAAGAAAACATCCACGGTCACTTCCTGTGCGTTCAAGAGCATGCACTAGCACCGATTGCTGTTCTTGTGTCCTGATTCAGTAACATAGACTGACGCTTCAAACTCTCTGCATAGTATTTCGGAGTGGTTCTTCTTGACAGTGCAGTGAATGTTGCAAGCGCACATTATTTCGTAACTCGTCACATGACAGTCTCTGCAGAGGCACACAGTGATAAATGAGCGTGTGCATTTTCACAAGTGCAGGTTGTTACGATTGCATGACAGTGCGTGAATCATACTGCACATCACAACGTGCACTGAAAAAATAAAAAATGGAAGTATGCATAGAATGGCAATCAGGTCAAAGCGATTAAGTATAATTAAGCGATCACTCAGCGCGAAATGACGGAGATGTTTTATTCTTCTAGCAGGCGAAAAAAGGTGTCAACGCCTGGGCACTACTGCACACCGGAGTGTGCAAGTTACCTCGAGCCTTGCCTATCTTCGCGTTACATCTCTGACGCGGAAGTGAAGTAATTGTAAGCTTTTGGCATTGTGTGCGACCAAACATAACTAACGAAATGATCCAATTTGTTCATTAAACTCGAAAGTTATTGACCTTTTCGCGCCTCATTATGGAATGCACGTCTCAAGTGTCATCCGCATGTCGTGATTGAACGGTTCGGTGCCCTCCTTTGTTTCTGCGCGTAAGCGAAACCAACTGCTGCAAGTGAAATTATTCTTCCAGGCTGGTAACTTTGAGATGTGCAAGTGTACGAGACTTCGACGAGGAAAACAGCATCGTACATTGCGAGAACTAGCACTCAAGACGCCAGAGCATCTCGCAGTACAGCAGCATTTCCTGATCGAGCATATGGCACTGCGAAATGGGAACACGAATCCGCTGAACCACCCTTCGCAGCGAACACCAGCGCGACACCAAAACTACTTGACTTCCAGTTACCCGCACAAAGTTCCTTCGATTTCAACGCAAAGAAGACGCGAAAGACGATGGTAAACAAAGTGATCCGGGTTCTACTTACGCCAAATATTATATTGAATGTCATGAGCAAAAGCTTCATGAGGTTAATGCAGGCCCCTGTTTGCAAGATTTTCCCCATCGCGATGCCTCTCTTCACACGTCGACGACTTCTCAAGTATGTTCACAGTCGCTCACAAGTGATGCAGCAACCGCAGTGGTATTGACGACTCGGCCGTGTGACGCACAAGCTCTGCAGGCGCACCGGCGCACACAAAATTCAGAAGCAACACATGCGGGCCCAGCAAAAGCAACAGTCGAACCAGTCCTGGCGCTTTAGCTCAGCTGATTCACGAGGGAAGGCGTTGTGAAGACAGGGGTTTAGAGAAAGGCGATCACGCTTAATGGCGCGCCAATCGTATTGTTACTTTACTTTTCACGAAAAAAGTTGTTTCGGTTTCGTTTTGGGTGGTTACTTGTCATTGGAGTGCATAGAGTTATTGCGGAGTATATAGACACGATTTTCTCTTCGTCTGATAGGTGCCACTATCTTGAACTAATAAGCGCTTGTTTTGTAGATTTTTTTTCATGTCACCATATAAAGTGATGATCTTCCTCATAAAACGTTGATTGTGCCGGCAAAGCGATCTCGTGCATGCGAGTTCACCGCAGAACTGTTTGTTTATTTGATACGAATACTAAACGGCAACGTTATAGAATATATAAGTGTATTCTAGACACTATAATACATGGGGTCATGAGTGACATAAAGTTTCCTAAAATTAATCTTTATGTGAGCGAGTATCGCGAGAGGCGCATTTAATGTGGGTTCTTGTGGTGGCGGAGCACATTAAAAGCAAAGCGAGCAAAAATAACCGCCAAGTCTTCTGGCTGCACTGATGGCAAGTACTTTTTTTTTCTGTCGCTGCTTTTATCCAATTTGCAAATAAAAGCATGACAACTGCTGAACTTTTTTGACATGGATCATTGCAATTAAGAAGGTATTAATTGTCTTTATTACCATCCGCTTTGTCTCTGTTCTAGCCTCCCCCTTTTTGGAGACGTGTATACAGAGGAAAACTGAGCTAATTATCATCGTTGAATCATATTGCCCTCCTGTATCCTTAGAGATCGTTTTACGTACTATTTTATCGCGTATAGGATATATATGAGGTGGTCAACCATATACGCTCTGAGTGCCCTGATCGTGCCAATTAATTATTAATGTGGTAAGTAATTTTGGCCGGAATATTGTGGAAGGCTATGATTAGCCGACCTACGTACATTTATTCTCCACGTCCTTCACAGTGAAAGTGCCTGCAGTTATCACCGTCTCCTTTTTCGTCATGCGTATTTGTATTATGTTTTGGTAGCACAATATGGCAATATCGTTTTCATTTACAGTACTCTCGAACCAATAGGGTCGCTTACGTGGCCGAAAGGCTTCTTTCAGAAAAGTGGCTTCTTTCCAGAACGGCTGCTTTCGGAAAATATTGAACTCCCTAAAAGTAATCAGGTGAAATACCTTGCTGTCACGTTTTCAGCAAACTTAAGTTGGGAACCTCATATTGACACCGTCTGCAAAAAAGCAGTAGGGAAGCTATCCTTTCTTAGAAGAAGGTTGCGAAATGCTCCGGCCCAAGTCAAATTAAATGCATACAAGACACTTATTCGCCCTGCCTTAGAATATGCCGACATAATATGGAGGCCCCACCAACAACACCAAAATTGAACGCATTCAGAAATTAGCTGCACGGTTCATCTACTCTAATTATTGGCGGCATTCAACCGTCACCGACCTAGTTAATTCGCCCTGCCTTAGAATATGCCGACATAATATGGAGGCCCCACCAACAACACCAAAATTGAACGCATTCAGAAATTAGCTGCACGGTTCATCTACTCTAATTATTGGCGGCATTCAACCGTCACCGACCTAGTTAATAGAGAGAATCTTCAGCCACTTTCCAAACAAAGAATAATATTAGGTTAAAATTCCTATACTTACTCTATCACTGTCATTTTAAGATACCGCGTAATCTGTACTTACAGGAACCATTTAAACACTCACTCAGGACAAACTATAACAAGGTCATTTTTCAACCTACTAGTCGTGTCAATACACATAAGTATTCTTTATTCCCAATGGCCATTAGTTTTTGGAATAGGTTGCTAGTCAATGCTGTGAATTGTTCTACGCTGGAATCTTTTGTCAACTGTTTAGAAGAGATTGATTTTTGTAAAAATGTATACATGTGAATGATGAAGTATCCTATGTGTATCAATACTTTCTTTTCTTTTTGTGGAGCGTTATTGTGTTTCATGTTACCTCTATGTATTGTTATGAATTTTGCTCTGTCGTGATGGTAGCGGTGGCGAAGAGCGGCGAGTCGTCGAGCGGACTTCGCTGAAGCCTTAGCCCGAAGGCAAAACAGGGAGGCAATCCGTTTTGAAAACAGCAACAAAGGTAGCGTTTACTGTAGCAGGTTGTCGTTTGTACAGAGCCGGCCAGCACGACAACGTCGGCTGGGGCAAAATCTTCTAACATGGGGCCGGCTCGGCCTTAAATAGCGTCTTTGGTCCACTCTCTCAGACCAGTTCTCGGGCTCGGAGGGGGAGACGTAGCCATACCCGGAACTGCAAAGTGGTTCGGCGGAGGAAGCGACGTTATCCCCGGAACTGCACGGTTCTTCTGCACGGAAGGCGGCGCTGGGAGGGGGGGGGGGGGAGACAGTTCGTTGAAACAGGGCTCGATCTTGTGAGACGTGCTCCCGAACGAGGAACATGTCTGTGGCACAACAGTATCCACTCCTGCATGGGCCCGGTTAGGCATGACGTTAGTTATAGCACGAGAACAAAACGACGACACAGAGACAAGAAGGACACGAAAGACACGAGCGTTCGTGTCTTTGGTGTCCTTCTTGTCTCTGTGTCGTCGTTTTGTTCTCGCGCTATAACTATCGTCATGCCATGCCAACTACCCCAAGCTGCCACACGCCCGGTTAATTAGGGCCTGCGGTATGTGCAAATAAAAAATAAATAAAGAAAATAAAAAGTGCAGGTAGACTACAGAACTAAGAATAAAAAGTGTGACTTGTCGCTACTATATATATAGTGTAGCGCGTGGCGTTTAATATCAGATACACAAAACTCTGAACGCGTGGGGCGTTCTTCAACAAACAACAGATCTCGATGTTCGTTCTTACATTCCCCTACATATCCACTGAACATCGTAGAACGTAGAAAACCGGGGAAGCCTCGCGGGCGAGTGCGAAGTGTTGTACGCTTTGAGAGCGCCGATTTCGTGCCAGACTTGACGGCGTCGGCACATTGCGAGGAGAGAGCGGCCATTATTTCTTCGTAACGCGCCCATGCTGCAGCGTTTGCGTCGTTACCTTGCGTGCATGCGTTTCTGGCATTCCCCGTTATATTCAGGAGAGAAAATTTCGGCGTGGAAGTGAAAATTAATGTTTGATTCAGTAGCAGCGATTTGTTAATCAAATTTGACTTCAGTAATGTCGTTCTGCTGCGTTCCCTTCTGCATGTCAAATAGGAAAAAGCGGAAAAAGAAGCTCGGGCACGCAGTGGGGTTGTCGATGGCGCTGCCAACGCCGGTTTTTTGCGAGTACGTGCGACTTTATGCTCCGCAAAAGCTGACTGGCTATCATATATGTGACTTCAATGCGTAATTCATGCCGTCGACTGCAGCCTTAATTCCCACCTCCCATGAATTATAACTGCCCTTTTCAGCTTGTCGGTACTGTTGCAAAGTGATTAAATCATGCATCATTAGCATTCTGCCTGTTGGGTCAATATAATCGTCCATATCTTCTCTGTGTGCTTTCATAATATTCCTAATATAGTTACCTCGCACTTTATCTTCTCCTATAGTTCATCAATGCCTTTTCTATGCACTGCACAATTTCTTGGTTTCCCTCTCTAACTTTTGCTCATGTACACAAGTAAACAAAACCTAGGAGTGTCATCTGCCCTGCCAACCCTTTGCCAGTCTGTACTTTTATGAATGCCCCGATACCACCCCTCTTTCTGCTTCCCTTTGTTCTATTACAACATTCCCATGCGTAGTCCGGATTGCTATAGGTGAGTTGTTCCAAGTCCCTAAGATGTGTTTCTGCAAACCGATATACCATCAGCTTCTCCTCCCTAACCGTGTTCTTCTATCTCTCCCTACTTCAATATAATCAACCTATTCCTGCCACCCTGCATATTATTGATATATATTCTATGTCTGAATTCGCTCGGCCCTCGTGCCTACGTCGACTTCTCCCCCGGACTCTTCGCGTCTTAAATATTGGTGTACAGCGTTCCTAGAACACTGTAATTGGTGCCACTTTGACCATATGAAGGAGCGCCGCGGTACGAAGAAAAGAGCGAGCCACGCCCACACACTTGCGCGCGCGTTTACCGTCTCGAAGGCCATGATCGCTTTTTGATAGTGCAACGAAAAACCGCAAGGTGTCACGACATTCGCTACTTCATTTTTTTCCGCAAAAGACTGCGTCGCTGTGGCTCGCGTTCCACACTAGGTACCTCACAAACTCTTTCTCTCCTGCCTTTTTGCCTCCCGTGCGCGCCGTGGCCGCACGCCGTTTGAGCAGTGCCCATCATGGAACATGAACAAGTACAGTTTAACGCACTGCTTCAGAACCTGCTGAGCACAGATAATGAAACAAGAAGCAGCGCAGAGGTATGCATTGCTCTGATACGTCCTGTGTCACTTTCTTTGCTGCGCTGTCATGCACGAAACGTGGACCCGACCGCGATCCGAAAGGCGGTCTTGATAAATTCGTTCATGTGTTGCAAGGATTTTCTTTCAATTCCCCGTTATCGTTAGATTACGAATTTTCTTGCAATGTGTGCATCGCAGCGCACTGTAACGTAATCCTGTGGCCTCGTTACGCTAGTTTCAGAGCGGGTCATTTGCCGGACGCTAGGCGGGAAAGGAGCACGTTGTTGCGCTTCTTCCGAAATCTAAGCCTAACTTGACACATCTCCGTAGTTGCGACGTGTTAGTTAACGTCGCACGTAATAACAGCGTGAAAATTTCACTCGAAGTTACCGTGAGATGTGACCGCTCGCGGTTCTCGTAGCCATTCATAGGAATTGATACCTGCTAATCTTTTTCGCTGTCGCGTTATTTCGCCGCCCTGTCACATTGCTACTCCCGTCAGCTGTCGTGAACGACTAATGCCGGTCATCGTGCGTGTGTGCTTCGACAATTAATGAGATCGCCGGAACGAATCGATTTTGCGGTGTCGAAAGCACACGTACAGCTGCAAAGTTACCGGAAGAAGGCGGGATGAGCAGAGGTGCGACCCGTGGTTGATCGTGCTCAATAAACCGGTACGCGCATTGCGCCTCGTTGCGTACTAGATTTTTTTTTTATTATTGGCAGTTAACAGCGTATTGACGGAGAATGTCCACAGTGGCACGTTTGTACGCACCCATTCGGTGTCGCCGCTAGATGCTACAACTTTTCCATTTCGTTGCCCATGTGTGTAGCGCGGTAAAGCACCATATATTGAGTATGATCACTGCTATGATCAACGAAGTCGCAATGTCCTTACCCGAAGAAATCGATTGTGTAGTTGCTCACCGTGTTGTTCGAAACGCCGCCCGTCTAAAACGCTGTACGAGCGTGACAATAAAATGTTGAGCTTGCAGGCTAGGTAACTGAATTATTCAGAACGTAATAAAGCACTCTTGTCGGAAATTTATGATGGTCTGACGCGACTGTCTGAGACCAAAATTTGTGGCCTATGGGCAAGGAAGTAAATAATCTCCTCTTAGTAGTAGTACGCACATGTACTTCATAGACCTTTTTAACACACAGACCTTTCTGAAGTCTGGTGAACCACTAGAAATTCTTAGATGGTCTGGTGCAGACCGTTCATTCATAGGCTTGTTTGCTCATTTCCATGTGTGATCCAGCCCTGGTTAAACTTTTTGCATTCATTGCTCACTGAATTCAAATACATACATGCCGGGCTTTGCGAATTTTCTTGAGTTGTCAAATATGGGTTCATTGTTAATTTTCAGAATATTTCGTCAAGGTTTACTAAATGTTAACACCTTGCGAAAAGCTTTGCTCATTTGACCACAACTTGGAATCTACTGACCATAAAAGGATGCTAAGGAGGTACCTTCTTCCAGCAACTTTACTCAGAGAAGCTTCTGAAGCAGGTGTAATTGACAACAGTGGAGTCAAGGAAACGCGTTGCAGTTAGAGTTGCCTGTCAGCTTGTCGGGGTTCCAAGTTATCTGGGGCTTGTGCGCCAAGTTTCAGGGGGAAGTATTCTTAGCAGGACTTGCACACGTTCCACGAACAAATGAAGGAACAGAATTGTTAGTACCTTTCCCCTACATGTCCAATTTTCTTCCCACATGGCTATCTTGGAATTTTTATCGATTTTGAAGTTGGTAGATTGTCCGATTGACAAAAGAGCACCTAGGAACAGCTCAAGTGTGATGCCAGTTCATTTTGTGAGGACATTCAATAAGTCTGTTGTGAGCAGTAATAAAGCTTCCTGCCCCATGCACTGTACCGCTTAGTCCATAGATGTCTCTGGTTCTAGATAAGCATGTGACGGGTATGAGAAACTGTTTAGCGCTGGGGTTCATCATGGTACATCATTCTAGCAGGAATTGTGCAGAACGCACAATTTCATGCATACATAACTGATGCACATTTAATAACAAACTAAAACATGCAGCCTTGTGTTTCATTTAGCTTAGTTAATGGCAGACAGGAACAAACCTTGCTGTTCACAAATAATTTGGATAAAGTGCGCCTTGGCAAGAAGCCAATTTCTTTTCTAAAGCTGACATAGTGATAGTCATTGCTTTTTATCATATTGGATGCAACTCTGAAGTCCTGTATATTAGCCATAGTTATAAGAAGAAACAGATTTTGCCACAATGAATGAAAATGGTCATTGGAATTTCAGTTTTTGCACCTCTTGCATTTCCTTCTTTGTTATTTCATGCATTAACTCATCAGGATTTGGCATACGAAATGAGCTAAAGCAGTCACATGAGTGCCAGTTATTAAGCAATGTGCATGTAAGCTCTCGGAGTTTAAAAGCTGGCCAGCCAATTGAAGTGCTTTTCATCTGCTATTCATGTCTGATGCGAGGTGCTGTCATTTGATTGAGGCCACTTAGAATGTGCTTTCTATCTGAGGTTCTTGCATATGCTTTAAGGGTGGGGCAGTACTTATTGCGCAAAAAAGGTCATTGTGTTGGAACACAAGCTGGAAAGAAAAAAATTATGCTTGCAGGGCTACAGCTGATGGTATTAGGACCTCTACTTATTGTCACTTTACTATAGTGTAGTAGCTTTTTCATTCTTGCATAACATGGCAGTTTGGGTCTTGAAAGCATTATGCTGTTGGAAGTTCTTGCTTCAATTAAATTTTGAAGCACTTTCCAGTTTCATTGAAAGCTTCAACTGAAAGAAAAGTGCCTTGTATTAGGTTTAGTTTTTATGCAAGCACTCTATGCTCATCGGAAAAAGGGTCGGAAGGGCTTTAAATCTTGAAGTGAATTCAGTATTCACCAAAGGTGTTTCAAGTTCTCTGCTTTTTTTTTTTGCTTGATAAACTCCTCAGTCATGGCACTTCCGTGCGTGTAAGGCCTTGCACTCGCTAAGTACTAGGACAGTGATCCTTTCAATGAAATTACAACTCTGTCAGGCTGAGCTGCTCTAGTGGCAGACACTATAGATAGGCTAGGGTGCTAAATTTGCTGATAATGTTACCAGTTTTGTGTTAAACTTTTGATGCTGTGATTATACATTTAAAGCACACTTAAAGGGGCCCTGCGACACAATTTGAGCATGTGTTTTTCATAGGTTCTTCTGGCGCTGGAATGCGCCGATATCATTGCGCAAGTGGCATTGCCAAAATCGAAGCTGTTATAATTTTAATTCACGTGACAAACTACCTTAGTTTCCGACTATGGCGACACACATAGGCTATTTTTGTTGTGGGAAGTGACGTCATGCCGTGTAACGCGATGACAAAGACCGAATATTCACTTTTGATTATTCTTGACTTTTGATGATGACTTGACGTGACAAGTAGCGTGAAATATTGAAATGATGGTAGCTAGGCTGGTTAGCTAGGTAGCTATGCTAAAAACAGAAAACTTTTTATATTTTCTCATTGCTGTGTTGCTGTATTTCTATTGCTGTGTCTAAATGATGTACTTTAAGAACAAAGAACATGACACTTAGTCTGCGAACAAGGCTATGGTACGCCAGCAACGAAATGTGGAAATGCACGCTGCGTTTTTAGCAAGCTGAAAATGTGACATGCGGCGAACGCAGTGTTGCAGTAGAACGCTTCTTGCTTGCAAGCTGAGAAGCGACCCTGTCCAAAGCGTATGTATCTTACACAGTGTGACCGTGGGAGCGTCTCCCACCCGAAGCGCATGGTTCTTAATAAAGATGCTAACGAATCCGTCAAAAAGAGCGGTAGAGAGGTATTGTGCAAAGGCCACGATGAGGTAAAAATTTTTGTATGTCTTAATGAGACGTGCGCTGTGATTGGAACCTTTCTTTGACATCAGCAGGCAAGTGAAATGTGAAAGCTAACATTTCTCCTCATCATCTTCTCGAGTCGTGAACTTTGAGGACTCGTAAATTTATTTTTCGTGCACTAATTTCCATCATACTTGTTGCATGCGTCTAGGCAATCATTCCTACTCGCGTTCCTGTGCTAAGTAAGGCTGTCGCAGAAATGTTGCTGGGTCCCTTTATAGGGACACTATTTGTGCATGTATTTTTCATCGGTTCTTCTGGTGCTGCGGAACGAGCTGTTATCGTTGCGCACACGACAACGCCGCCCCGCCGCGGTGGTCTAGTGGCTAAGGTTCTCGGCTGCTGACCCGCAGGTCGCAGGTTCGAATCCCGGCTGCAGCGGCTGCATTCCCGTGGAAGCGGAAATGTTGTAGGCCTGTGTGCTCAGATTTGGGTGCACATTTAAGAATCGCAGGTTGTCGAAATTTCCGGAGCCCTCCACTACGGCGTCTCTTATAATCATATGGTGATTTTGGGACGTTAAACCCCACATATCAATCAATCAATCGCGACAACGCTGAAATCGACGCTGTTATAATTTTAATTCACAGGACAGACTACCTTGATTTCAGACTACGGCGACACACATCGGCTATTTTTGTTATGGGAAGTGACGTCGTGTCATGCGAAGTGACGAGAAACACCGTTCGTTTTTGATTGGCTTGACGTGAGAAATGGTGTGTATTATTCATATGGTGGTAGCTAGGCCATACGAGTGAATGCTAAAAATGGCAGAAACCTTTTTTATAGTTTCTCAGAAAGAAATCATTCCTATTCCTAAATGATCTATCTTAAGAATAACGAACACAACACTTAGCCTGGAAACGAGGCTACGGTGCGCCAGCACGCCTCCTCTAGAAAGATGCCTGTAACATCACACGCTTTCCCATGGGGACGAGAGGTTCCCCGTAGTTTAGTGCTTTCTCCGCAAGGAGCTCCTAAAGCCGACACTACTACTTCCGCTGGATTCGGAAGTGACACCATCTTATAAACATAACCGTGTTGCCTCCGAGACGGCAGTAGACATTGCTTTAATCTCAGAGGCTGCAAGGTTTTAAGCAGTCGCCACAACGAGCGCTTGCAGCCGACACTGTTTGAGGGGGCGGAGGAGGAGAGAACAGAAGAGAACCGGGAAATGGCTCTTCGGCTCAAGTCGCAGGCATCTTCGTAGAGGAGGCGTTGGCCTAGCAACTAAAACTGAAAAGGCATGCTGCATTTTCGGTGAGCTGAAAATGCGACAGGTGGTGGGCGCCGACGATTGTCGCAGAATGCGTTGTGCATGCAAGCCTGAAAAGTGACCCCGCCCAAAGCGTATGTGTGTATCTTGCATAGTGTGACCGTGGGAGCATCTGCTTCTAGACGCACGTAGTTCGAAGTAACCATGCTACCGACACCGTCAGAAAGAGCCGTAACGAGGTGTTGGTGACATTTCTGGAATATGTTTATGAGGCGCGTGCTGTGATTGGAAACGGTCTTTGATGTCAGCAGACGAGCGAAATGCGAAAGAGCACGTTTCTCGTCGTCGTATGCTCGAGTTTTGAACTTTGAGGACTCGTAACTTCTTTCCATTCACCGATTTCCATCATTCTTGTTGAGAGACTGCCACTCAATCTTTCGTGTAAACTTTAATGGGTGTGTTGTGTTTGCAAGATTACTACCATACAGTTGGCTTTGCTGGTGGTAGTGAATTGCTTGTCACTTCAGAGTGACTTGATGCACAAAGTACCTGCTGTATTTTAAAATAGACAAGGCTTATCATTCTAGCACCTGTTCAGTTCCTTGTGCTTGTCATTGTTTTGCTGGTAGCAAACAGATACATACTGAAGTTTTATTTAAAAAAAAATTATGGCAGTCTTGCACTCCAAGCCTGAAGAAAGAGTGCAGCTGGATGGCCTTCCCTGTGTCTCATTATTTTTCCCAGTATTTCATCTTTCATTCTCTATCTTTCGCCTCCCCCCCCACCTCTCTGCTTGTTTCTCTGCGCTTATATCACAATCTTATATCTCTTTCTCTCTCTATTTCCCCGCTTTCTTTCTTCCTTTTTCAGGTGTTCATTTTCGTTCCTGCTGTACACGGTAGTGTTGCTTGCCCAATTCTTCTGGTGCTTACCCACTTGAGTTTTCTCGTGACACTGCACAAACTGCGGCGAGTTACAAAGGCATCGCTTTTAAAAGGAGAACACGTTGAACTTGATATAAAACTGCCGTATTAAATATTTAGGGCTGAATTATCCGTAACTGTGTGAGGAAAGCAGCATGAATATTAAATCACCGGCTTTCTTCAGTTTTTCCTCACTTTTTTTTTTTGACCAACACAGTGGCTGAATGACGTTGCAAAGCAGAGTTAGTGAGGCATGTTTATCATGTGCGAGCTCCAGTAAACTTCTCAAATCCATGTGTCATCAGAAGCTTCAGATGTGCCTGACTGTCGAGATGTCAAAGGCCAGAACGGAGGATGGCAGCTGCCTTCGCCACTGGTACTTTCTCAGGTAGAAAGTGGGATCAGTTTATACTAGTAGCCACCACCCTTACCCATGTTTTGTTTCTTTAGCATAACAGGATAATACAATACTTGGGATGTTAAACCCCACATATTAATCGAATTATTCAGGATGATAAAATATTACCTAAATATTCTTGTGTGGCTAATCAATGTACTATTAACAGCAAAAGCTTGCGGGACCGTCAAATGTTCGATAAAGCTAAATTCCCGCTTTGTCTGGGAATGTAATTTTGAAATAAATGTTCCATACTGCGCTTTGCATCCCATCCTATAGTCACCAGCTTGATTACAAGCTTTAAGCACCGATATAGCAGAAATTCGTATTTCGTTGTGAATCCAACATCTCACAATCTTTTGCTGTTGGTAGTACACTTTCAAGCACAAAACAGACATTATTTGTGGATGTGTTAAACATCAAGAGTCATTGTGAATGGCATCAGCACTACCTTTTTTCTCTGCTACATATTCTGTCCATTTCATGTTACTTGCATTGTCCTCAGGTGACAGCACCAAACATCATGCCAGAAAGGCGCTTGTTTAGTAGTCCATAGTTGCAGCAGCAAAGCTGATGGAAGTGTTCTAGAAGTTGTGCATCTTGTCATGGTCTGCAGTTTTCTGTTAACTGCTTGTCGGCTCCATCTAAAGGTACATCATTATTAATTAACAAAGCTTGTACTTATAAGGAGTGTTCACTATGTCAATAGATGCCCTTGCATTGGGTGCGTTTTTTTCGAGTGTCGAAACTCCCAAGTTAGATATGAAAATGTGAATCAAGGTAAAGTGACTTTCTAAATGCACTGCTCCCTACCTTACATAAAGAGTAGGGACTTAGTTTGTGCCTGTGCTTCACGGCCTGTAGGATCTTCCTTCATGCAGTCTTTGCCCTTTGGCCTTAATGCTAGCTCCGATGGAGGCGGAAATGTTGTAGGCCCGTGTGCTCAGATTTGGGCGCACGTTAAAGAACCCCAGGTGGTCGTAATTTCCGGAGCCGTCCACTACGGCGTCTCTCATAATCATATGGTGGTTTTGGGACGTTAAACCCCACAAATCAATCAATCTTGATGCTAGCTGATCTTGAATATAGGCAGCGTTAACTTTTCAACGTGTATTCACCATCGAAATTTGCCGCAGCATTTCCTTTGGGCGCAAGTGCAATGGCTGATGATGGTGAAGGAATGCAGGGATGTATGATAGCTAATTAGCCACTGTTATCAAAAGGGCGTGGTTCACAAATGTGCCATTCACAATCTATATTCGAATATACCTAGGTGATGAACGACGCTGTGTAAACTAATATTTGAAACCACCTGCTCCCTCTTTTTGAAAGACGTACGAAAGCGAATATAGGCAGAAATACCTAATGATATTGCTTCTGAACTACGCACATTTTGTAACGGTGCTCACGTTGGTTTCATGTTCACTGAATGCCCACCGGCTCAGTGTATTTCTCATTTCATGGGTCCTCAGGGAGAGATTATATTTGCACAAAGTGAAGGTGAAGTTGATAAGGACAATGGGGAATGCTTAGAGAAGTTCGACATTTCACGGTGTGGGCATTTCAGAACGAGAAGCATCTCAAGTGATTGATCCTTCGCCAGTCTCTCTATGCCTTGCTTCCTCCTTGCCCATCTTCGGTATTCAGGGGAGGGAGTTGGGGAATGTTAAACACTCTACAGGGAGCTTGGTGGGCATTCATCCCGTAAACTGAATTACAATATCTGTTTAGTGTGATAGAGGGTACTGGTTTCTAGTTCATATTACAGTGCACTTTGCCAAACATTGTGAGCCATGACCATTGTGAAGCCACGTGGCAGTACGATAAGCATGGTCTTTCTTATGCAGACGGCCTACGATGCGGTTCCTGCGAGCAACCGTGTGCTGTTCCTGCTCGGGGCCATGGGCCCCTCTGCGGGACCAGAGGAGATGCGGGTGCTGGCGGCTGTGCTGCTGCGGCGCCTGCTGTCAACAGAGTTCGACTCTAGCTTCCCCAAGCTGCCGGCCGCTAACCAGCAGCAGATCAAGGAGCAGTTGCTGCAAAGCATTGAAACTGAAGCAAGCAACACCATGCGCAAGCGACTATGTGAATGTGCAGCTGAACTTGCTCGCAAGCTAATTGGTATGTTCTTGCAGGCCACCCCTGCTCGGGATTTCAATTTGTGCATGCTGCAACATGGCAATTGTAAAAGTGTGTTCTTATTTATGGTGGTCAGGGTGTGGTCAGCCTTGGCCGACTTAGTATGTATTTGTTTAATATTTAATTAACCCTTTTTATTTGATGCCCACTATATCTATCGATCTAGGAGTGTACACATTTTGTTTAATTTATTTACTATGAAACCCTGCAACGTTTTATAGGCATTATTCCTTCACGAAGTCTCTGGCCTTGATGCTAACTGAACTTGAACCTTGGCAGGATTAACTATTATAGCATAGTTGTAAGCGTTCAGAATTTCATACGTGATTCTATGAGCCCAGTATGAGAATAACATTCTAACACAGAAACAAATTTAGAATGAAAATGTGTAACTTCACATAAAACAGTAATGTTGTTACATTCACATATGTATACATGGCAGATAGCCGTGTCACTAATGAAAACTGTTTAATAAGCTGTGGAAGTTGTTAGGTATTGAGAAAGAGCATTATTTTTTCTATTATGTCAATTTTCGAGTCTGCCTGTTTTTTTCATGCTTTATTTGTGCAGACGACGATGCCAACAACCACTGGCCGGAGTTTCTGAGATTTTTGTTCCAGTGTGCCAGCTCCACCAACCCCTTGCTCAGAGAATCTGCACTGCAAATATTCACGTAAGCAGTCATACTCACCGTTACTGATCGAGATGTGAATTTCAGTTGCAGCTGCATTTTTCATGCTTCTGCCATTGGGTTAGTCAAACAAAATCAAGGGCAGCACTTCATTTTTGTTTCGAGTTCCTGCACATGTGTGTGAGCAACCATTCTTGGGCACTGTGCAGAGTGGTCCTCAAACTTGAAAGGTATACTAAATGGCATGGACGAATTGCACACCACATAGGTAGAAAAACACATGTGCTTACTGTGTTTTTCTTACTAGGCCGTGCATAACTTGTGCATGCTACATTTCACCTTTCAAGTATGAATGAACTTGTTTAGCAACATGCTTTATTAATGGTGATATTCAACCTTTGCAGGTCTGTTCCTGGAATTTTTGGAAACCAGCAGAGCCGCTACATGGAAATGATTCGGCAGATGCTGGTGCAAAGCTTAGCTGATGCAAGCAATGCCAATGTAAGTTAGTCTCTGATCGAAGCACTGTGCCTTGCAGGATATGTCTTGTTAATATGTTACCTGCTGCTTATTTGACACATTGCACACACTCACACAAGAGAAGTCAATTTGCTAAGCTTATTTTGTTAGAAAGTGTTTGGATCATTGTAACTCGTGATTTGTAATAGCCATCCTGTTACTTGATTAATCTCTGGCTCTGTTTCTGTGAGCGGTCTATGCAGTGCAGCAGGAGCATTCAAAGAATTGTTCATTTGTGTGAAAGCATAAGGTAGGCAACAATCTGAATTTGATAGGAACTTCATGTATTGTGGATGTTGTCATGCAGTGTTATGCACTGGGGTTGAAGGTAGGAAAGCCTATGATTCGAAACATTCCATGCTTGCAGCAGGTGTTTGTAAATGCCCACGAAAATATTTTAAAGATGCTAGTCTTTCTTGGTGATCTAGACGAAAAAATTTTGGCCTTCCTGTCTATCTGTACATTTGTCTGTTTATCCGCTCTTAACGATACCTCAAACGGCCGACCCCATCCGCAGCGCCCACCAATATTGCTCAAGATTTAGCATTCATACTTGTGCGATTGTCAAATAAAAAGCAATTGTTGCGCATATCTGAGGTACTACAACAACACATCAATGTTTTGTATGTGTGCCTTTATATTAGAGAAGGCACACACAAGTAATGCTAAGGAACGTAGCGTTAAACACGATGCGCTGGCAGTGCGATGCGATGCTCAAAAAGACAAGTGCTGAGGTGGTGCTTTGCTAAAACGAGATGGTGGTGGCACCTGTCCATCGCTTTGCGTTTTACACCTTATCGCCTCCGAGAATGGCACGCATCTTTCTCCGCAGGCGCGCATGCCTTCATTCGTTTTAGAAGATAAATGCCAGATGGTGCTCGTGTATAACGTGCCTCGATGCGCTCTTTTGCCTTCGCTGCACGCTCGAGGCACTCTAACGCAGCGCCTCCAGAATACCATTCACCGATTTTCTTGCGCAGAACATCAAATAAATGTTTTGTTCACTTTCTCTGGATGCAAGATTGTCTTTCGACGACATAACATGCAGATTCGGGGCCAATTTTTTTTAGAGTAATAATTTGCAAAATCTGATACTAATGTATAAATAAAGAACAGTGGTGAGATAGCAGAACGATTGGGGAGGCTTTTCATGTTTTGTAGCAGAGCACTGTCGAGAGCTGCGTGATCTGTTCATATTTTAAACAGACACTCGCTTTAGGAAATTTCGTCCTCAATTTGTACTTCTCTACAGATTCAGTAGCATGATTGGAAAATTCGCTTCCTTCTTGTTTTCACGTCAAACTGCATATATTTAAAACAAAAGCTGCTTTTTAAAAATTTTTAGTGCACAGTCGAACCCCGCTACAATGAAACTGAAGGGGTGCAGAAAAAAATTTCGTTGTAGTGAAATCGAAAAAAATATAGCCGATCTGAACTAGCAAAACAAAGGAACCTTTATTCTCAAAATTCAAAAAGGGTTCGCTTCTTTTTATACTATACCATCTGCATCACGACACGATTCTCACCCATGCATAGCCAGGCCAAGGTGAAAAGCACTCTGAAACAATGACAACAATCGTTTTCGTGAACGAACCTAACAGTTGCATTAACACGTTAACACCAGCAGCTGTCCGCCGTCAAAACGCCAAGATGGCAGCAGGGTATTGTGGAGCGATGACTTTTGCCTTATTTTGTGCCATTCTTATCATCCATCACTCGCGGCAAGCTGATTTTATCGATAAGGCGGACGAACAGCCACTCTGATTAGTTACCACACTGGCCAAACAAGAACAGAATGATCATTGGAATTAAAAAACGCATCGTTCTGCAGATGCACCCAGCAGCTGCGCGAAGAAAACAATGAACTAAGCAACTGAGCTTCAGTTTCGGACCGTCTGCGGATATACAGTAAATCCAATCGTTGTGACTGCCCTGCTTTTGCCAGTGACAAAAGCAGGACAGTTTTATTGCCATCACTATTGAGCAATGGTGGCGCCCATACTTGCTGAACAGCAGTTGTTCTTGGTGGTGCCAACGTGTGTTTTAGACTTTGTCGACCTATTTTCAGGTTCTGAAAATGCATCAAAATGTAAAAGATTGGCTTTACTGTATAGCAATAAATATCTGAGCCTGGAATTGTATCGTGAAATTTGGTTGAAGCAGGATGGCAGGAGAAAAAGTGTTCGTTGTGGCAACAATATTTATGTATCGAATTCTATGGACTGCTGATGGGGAACCGTGAATTTTTCGTTGAAGCGGGAATTTCGTTGAAGCTGCGTTCGTTGTACCGAGGTTCGACTGTGTTACAGTTTGTGAAGGCTCTGCTTAGTAGCGAAACCTATTGTGTGCAGGTACGATTTGCTGCTGTGAAGGCCATCATCGCTTTCATTCTTGTGCACGAAAAGGAATTGGCCATTCAGAGGTTGTTTGTGGATTCCTTGCCTGCAATGCTTCAGGTGAGCTGGCTACAAAAAGGCTGTGCTTGCGCGATCACAAATTATTGTGAGAGGAGTCTTGTACGTGCAACATTTCCTATGTTTAGGTTCCTCTCAAATACTTTGCTAAGTTTAAGCAAATCCTTGTTGTACTGCATGCCAGAATGTTTTGTATGCAAAAGGATACAAATTCTGTAGCTGAGGTTCTTCTGCAAGTCTGGCATTACTCTTACACTGTGTTGCTGTGGCTTGTATAAAATTTCAAGAGCTTTCGTTAGGGCTATAAGTTGAAAAAAAAAAAAAAAGCGAAAAAATTTGACGTTTACTGTAAAGTGGGCATTGTTGATGTTAGCAAAACAATGCATGTGCGCTGGCAATTTCAGCAGCCACAGGAGGTGGGAGAGTTTGCATCATGTTCTCGAGCATCACTTTTGTGAATAATGCAAATTTTGCATGGCTAGTGCAAGAAGTTCGTATTGTAGCTTAAACTTTAATTATCTAATGTTGGATGTGTAGCGCGAAACTTGCACGACAAATGCACTGTGGCAGCTTTATACGGCTTGGTGCCTGTATTGGCTCAGTCCGAGTGTTAGCCGTAGTTGGTGATTACTGGAGGTATTTTTAGTTTTAAAGGGGTTGATGATAAATAAAAACTAAAAATTTGCTATACAAATTTGTTTCCTTTGCCAAGCTAGCTTACGATTGGTTTGAATTATTGCATGACCTGTTGAACCTTGTTAAAAATAACATTATGCAGCCATTGTCAGTGCTGCAGAGCTGAGCAGACTGCATAGTGAAATTAGATAAGTCGACCCTTAAGCAGTGCACTTAAAGGGACTCTAAAGTCAAATAACAATTTATATCAGAGTGAAAGCTTAATGTATGACAACATTATCAACAACAGTGCACCACTTCCCGAGAAATTAAGGTAAATGCACAAGAACACATGTGCCGCAGTACGAAATTCTCAAAACGATCCTGATGACCTCAGACGGACCACCTACAATTAATCACTAGTGGTTGATCTAGCTGCCTTAAATAAGAAACCGTTCGTGCATCAAGAGACGCAATACAATGGTGCTTGTTTGTTTCTGTTTGGTTCACGGAAAAAAGAACCGCCGGGCGTTACTATGGGAAATGGCACGACTGGGTCAAAAATTCAATTTTCGCGTAGTTACACTGGACAGGTAGTGCCATCTATCGAGTCGCAGTTGAAACCAAAAACATCTGCAATCTCGGAGCCAATGGCAGGAAATTGATCGATGGCTGTTGTTGCTGCTGTGGCTCCCGCTGCTTTCGGTGTGCTGCTACTAGCACAGTAAAGCTCAGCAACGTTGTGCACGGCAACAGTGACATCAGTCGATCTGGTCGGTCTGCTTTTTGAGGTGGGTAGTTTGAAGTGTGCTAACCCGATGCGGACTACTAAAATGTGATTTTATTTCAAAATAGGCCTTTCCTTTGCACAAAAGTAACACTATGAGGTTTCTGGACCGCTATTTTTACAACCAACGTGGACCTAATAGTTGCCTTTAGTGTCCCTTTAAGATACAGTAGGGCTTTCAAAAGGCATCTGTAGGCTTGTGCCGATGCCAGAGCAGGCTCTGTGGTTTACCATTGTCTTGAGCAAGCATGCAATGCTAAATATCCCAGCCACTGCTTCTTGACTTATTCCAATATCTCTTGTAAAACAATCTTGAGGTTTCATATTTTCTGTATACAATTCTGCGACTCCCACTTACGAGTGGCAATTAGTGCAAGCCATTTGTTAGCACTTGTAACAGTTAGTGGTTTTCTGTAATAACTCTTGAAGGTGGTGTCTGAGAGTATAGAAGGCTTGGAAGACGACAGCGTGCTCAAGTGCTTTGTTGACTTGGCTGAAGTGTGTCCACGCTTTTTCCGGCCCCATTTGGACACCCTCATGCAAGTGTTCCTCAGGGTAAGCCGCTCTCATCAGCTCATCCTAATTGCAACAATGCTAGCATGACGATAACGACTTGAGTGCCATGCTCGCACAAATGTACAGTGTCAAGGCACAACACATTTGAACTACGTATCAATAAAAAATGGGGGAGTTACTTAGCATTCGTTAGGTAATAGGCAAGCTATTTGTATGCAGTACACACCTTTGGAATCAACATTGTACCATGCTTGAAATAATGAATTTCTTTGTATATTTTGCTGTAAAACATTGCCTTATGAGTTCATCTTTTCTCAGTGACTCATTATAGGCTATGCCATCTTGTTATTCATAATAGTGTTGTAATGTTTTACTTAAGGGGGGACGCGCCCTTTGAAAACCGAAAAATCGCGAAAAAGTCGATTTTTTGAAAACCACATACTCGGGCAGTATGACTCATAAACTGCCTCTACTGTAAATATCAATGTCTAATTCATCGCGAAAGTACGTCAAATAAATTTTATAACATGCCGCGGCAGCCAGCAAGCGGCGAGCGAGCGCCAAAAATACCCCAACTTCGCGCGCTCGCCATTTCCCAACCGCTCGGCCGATTGCCGCCATCTTGATGTTGTTTGGCTCGTGAATTCTTGCGCTTTTTTTTTTTTTCGCCACCCGCGGCAGTGGCGGTGGCGCTCCGAGGTGGGAGTCGCTCACGATTGGGGGGCTCGCGGAAGCTTTCGAATGTCCCGCTGCCTGGATGCGAAGCCGCGATTGGACAAAGCGCGCGCCTCTCGAGGGAATGGGGGAACGCGCGGCTCCTATTGGCTGCTGCGCGCGATGACGTAGCTGCTTCTCCGGCATGCGCCGGCTCGTCGTCTGCACCGGCGCTTGCAATGCCGGCGTTCTTTGTGTGCCCCGTTTGCCATCATTCCGATCGGTCGTCACACGTGCTCCTCTATCTTTCACCGTCTTCACGAGACGATCTTCTACCGTCTTCACGAGACGATCACTACCGTCCTCACGAGACGATCTTCCGCCGTGTTCACGGGACGCGGATTGTTGCGCTGACGGTCACGATGGGCATTTCGAAGTTTAAGACTCGGCACGCGTTCGGTTCAAGAAAGCGTCAGCTGAAGCTCGTACGCATGGCGAAGCTCACCTGCACGCCCACGCGCAGCGACAGTTGCACCGATGCTTCCGCTTCATCTTTTCAAGACGATTGCGTCGACGCTTCTAGCGACGAGACTTCTACACCATCGGCACAAGGATCCGTCGTGACGAGTGAGGCTGGTGTTTCGTGCTCAAGTGCGCCTGGTGTGTCGCGCTCGCCAACCGCATTGATTCCGGCCCCGAACAGTGAGACCGCGTCGTCGACTGTGCACTTCCAAACACGTTTTCGGACGTGCGAGGAGTTGGCGACGGCGGAGAGAGAACGTGCTGCTGTGCAACGAAAGCTTGGCGCTATGCCAGCGACCGAGAGGAAGTTTCAAGCGATGATGCCTGAACCCGAAGCTGCCACCGCTACGACCGAAGGCGAGAGATATTTCCTCGTGCAAGGGGATGCCCTTAGCGACATGCTGTCCAAGACCCCGTGCCCGCGCTGCCTCGCGACCGGGATGAAAGTTCAAGGAGGCACCCAGCTTGGACTTGCCACGAAGCTTGAGCTGGTATGTTCACATTGTGGAATAGTTTCAAGTTCGTGGAGCTCTGCTCGTCAGAACGAATCAAGGGCTCAGAAACGGATGAATGAGAAGCAGGAAAAGCGGCAAAGAAAAAGAGAGCCTAAGGACACATCTAGCTACTCTGCAGGGTCATTTTAGACCATAATAAATGTTTGAAACTTTCGAAGTCAATTTTCTCAGAATGACTTTTTTGGCCAGTGAGGCTGCTTAGTCAGGTGATCTCTCTGGAACTGCTGGTCTGATTTCTATCAGGTTTTTTTTATTATGCACCTTAATAAATTGCCCAGGGCAAGGCAAGCCCGCTTTTTCAATTTATTGTGTCTGTAATTTGTAATAATTAACTAAAACTTCATTGATGAGAGCCAAATTGTGAACACTAAATTCAGTGCTCTGCTAACATTTTTTGGCAAGGAAATTTAAAAAAAGGGCTCTGTCTTGCCCTAAAGCACCTATCCAGGAATCATCATAGTGAATTTCACAGTGCTAGCACATTTTTCAAATTCTCCAAACCCTGACTAAGGGACCCATGTGGACTACCCTGATAAATGGCTGTAACTTGGGAACCAGTGAACATAACTGCATGAAACTTTGTGGTTATTCAAATGGCTTTGCTATTAGTGTACCCTGAAAATTTCATTAAGATATCTCAACAAACAAAAAAGTTGCCCTTCGAAGGTAGCCTCCCCCCTTAATATACAAGAGTAGTGATTGTTACAAATTTAAGTAAACTTTCCTTAGTAATAAATATGCCTTGTTATTTCCTGTGGCATTCAATGCTGTCATTTTTATAGAATTCCAAAGGTCATCTCCATAGTTGTGATACCATACATAGTGGAACCCCGATTATACGACTTTCAAGTATTAAATGTGGCTTGTTATTTCCTTTGTCATTCAAAGCTGTCATTTTTTTTTTAAAAACTCCAAAGATTATCTCTATCGTTGTGTTAACATATACAGTCCAATTAATGACTTTCAGGAGACCATGCAAAATCGTTTAATCGAAAAACTAAGGTTATAGACAGTGACACTCGGCTTTGCTCGAAAAATGGGTACAGACTGCCTCAGTAAGCCCACGGCACCACCTTGTGTCTTTGCAAGAAAGGTAGATTAAATAATTCTTGCCAGTGGCAGTTGATGACTGAGTTACTTAGTTGAAGGAGGTGCGAGAGAATCTTTATTCGCAACCTTAGAAAATAATCCAATCCAACACGCATCTTTCTACCAATAAACAAAGTCAGAAAATTGCCTGCACGTGAAAATGAAACTAAAATTGTGTTGCCAACAGTCTCCCTTGAAAAGAGTCAGACAGTGTCATCGCTATCACATTATAGCGACAGATGAAGAGTTTGTGCAGAATGCGTTTGTGCGCAACTTAGCTGTGTGCATTGTAATTTGCTGCCTTGTTAAAGGGGGGACATAGCAATGGGAATTGTGAATTTGGTAAAAATGTATAGTTTTTCAATTAATCTTTTTCTGTAATACTGAGATCATGTTTTACATCATAGTGGGATTTTAGACCAAGATAAGTACAGTAGAACCCCGCTGATGCGTTTTTCACGGGATCGTATAAAAAAACGTAGGAGCCGGGAAACGCAAGAGCCGAGAAACGTGAAAAATTGAGAAATAAGAGTAGTGGTGAACTGCACATAGTTTTATTTTAATTCTTTCGCTTGAAAAAATCATGCAGCATTGTCTGGTGCATCTTCTCACGCCCGACAAGCACAAGGTGTTTTTCAAGCACCTGTAGTGCCATGTGGCTCTCGCCATCGTCACTGGTGCGCACATATCTTCGCAATAAATCCAGTGCCGCTATGGCCGATGAGGACGTTGGCTCCGGTATCCGCTCCACCTCCTCCTCAACTTCCTCGTCACTGGTGCACGGATCGACGCACTCAGCCACGATGTCGTTGACGGATAACATCGTGGAGGTGACAACGGCGTCGTCAACAGAAGCGTAGTTGCTGTACGCGATTCCACTGGCACCAACAGTCTTCATGCCAGTCAAGCTGCACGTGCTCCGAACTCCGGGCTTGCTTGCACTTGACGTCGAAGGTTCGGGCATTTTCTTCAATGTCGATCCATTTTGCAACGATGGAGTTCAAGGTGGAAGGCGTCAGACCTAACTCCTTAGCTATGAACACCTTCTTCCGTATCGGGTTCTCTTTCACAACGCAGAGAATGTTCAACTTCTCTTGCAGCGAAAGTGATTTCCGCTTTCTTGATGTCATCCTGTTTGAAGACTATTTAGAGCGTTGGTAGTGTAAAGGCACTATGCAGCACACTTGTATAACCTGTGCAACGACCGACACGAAACAAAGGCAATGCGAGAAGGACTGCAGCAAGCACGGGTAGCACGGGCACACATGGGCGATGGTGATGGCGATCGGGCTATACCCTTTGAATCGGGCCGCCTGCGCGACCCGGCGGCGATAAGTGGGATGCCAGCGTGACATCCCAAGAAAACAAAAACAGGTCTTGGAGACCTTACTTTTACATATGCCAAAACCAATTTTAGGTCCCCAACGCGTCATAGACACTATCTTTCTTAGAGTGTAAATACGGATCTCAAAGGTCATGCTTTTGCTGGCATGAACCGAAAATACGTCATAGGTGTTGCCCCCGGCACTTTGGGCGGCCAATTTCATCGTCGAGCCGCAAAGCCAAGCTACATGAAAGACAATATGGCCGCTCGGGCCGGCGCGTCGTGGCACTTCGCAACGTATGATGCGGGAACGGTCCCACAGTTGCGACGCAGCAGCGGGGTTCCCAATGCATTGGATGCTATGGGAGCTGTGCCGGGACCGGCCGAAAACGACGTAACAGCTAGGAAAACACAACACACGGGAACACAACAGCGCGGTTCTACTGTATAGTAGAAGTTAAGAAACAAGCATTTTACTGGTGGACTGTCGTCAAAAGCTATGTGAAAATTGGGCATAGCAAAATGCAAATTTACAGCTTTCCCTTGGCACAGGGCCATCATATTGGCATAATTATAAAGAGGACATATTGGAACTCGAGATGGCCACAAAGTTGCATTTCTTCTATAAAAATAAGCCAGCTTCTTCCAAGTTTGCGTAAGATTTTGACAAGTTCTGAAGTCTCTCCTGGTATTCATCTATATGAGCTCCATTTTTCTCATTAGCTGACTTTTTTTGAGCACGAAGCATGAAAGGAACCCATGTGCCGTATTCCAAATATTTTCCGAGCTTGCTAAAACCCTATCGTTTGCGAAGCTGCCATATTTGGTGACATCATAAGACTGTTTTGATGGCTTTTGTAAAGGTGTTGGAAGCACAACCAGACATTACGGAAGAAAAATTTGTGTCTTACTTACATATTAATGTAACCATAGCT